AAATAACGGAACCCGGAAGTGCCACACCCACTTTAGGTAGTCGCGAATATAACAGGCGCTCAGGAATTACTAGGCTCGTTCGATAATAATAAGCGCTGACACCAAGCGCAGCAAGCTCCCTTTCATTTTGGGTGCCCAAGAGGCATCAACAATCTGTATTCTGTCTTCTTGGAATAAGAGTGACATCCAAAAGATGAGAGTTTTCCTAGCCCCTTGAGTGCAATGCAAACGACGTCCTTCTGACCTTTCAACAGCTCTTGTGCAACGCGGGCTTGCCAACGACATGGGTCACGGCCAATTTCGCGAAAATTTTCTTGTGGATGTCGTCGATGGTAGGCAGCGAATTTGAACTCATTCTAACGAGACAAGTGGCGACAATTTGTTCTCTATATGCGCCTTCAAATGGCTCTTGAATTGATCGACCCGCACAATCAATTGAAGAATTACATAGAAATATATACATTTATATTTTTCGCCGTTTCATGCTTCCTTACGGAGGACGTTCCCCCTCCGGGTTCCGTTATTTGCAGATGTTTTCTGCCAGCCGTCGTAGGGAGGACGAGGGAAATAAGATTGTGGAGTTTAAAACCGTCTCGTGTTCACGTGATATGTGGCTGAGGGATGTGGCTGAAAGAATCCGCTGGTGAGATGAAGTCCCTCTCCTCCCGGAGATCGGATGGGCAGGAGCCTGGTCCCGAGCCCCGTGTGGCGCTGTCCACCTTTTGGTCTCCATCCTGCTAGTCTCGTCACTTGTGTCTGCAACTCCATGTGGAGAGAAAATAATCATCGCTGCTGTAATAGAAATCCTCACAATGTTTTGGGTCTCATCGTCTGGCTCCGCAGGCTTCTTCTGTCTTCATTACACTCACTCTGAACGCATCTATGACTATGTTCCCGTAGCCCGAACGACAGTATTCTGCTACGGACGACCATCGGGCTACGTCCAGACTCGAATGACTAGGAGCTGCGACGGGGCTGAATTGAGAACGGTGCGTACAGATCTCTCCTTCCTAGCCAAGCCTCACTAACTCCACTGGGCTCTTGATCACCACGGCGTCGCGGCGACGGAAGTACCCATGCATGGTGGCTGCTGGTACAGGACCCACTCTAGTGTGTCATCCCGTGTCATTGAGTCCGACATGATGAACGCAAGTTACAATGTGCGAGCGGACATGTGGTAACATTCATTTTCATGCAAGGATGCTGGCGGGAACATCGATCGACACTCGGTCGACACTAGACACTAGCACACTTTGACCCGCTGTTACTGTTACTGAGTTGGCAATGTGCAGTGCGATAAGGAAGAGGATCCGATCCGGCTGGAAGCGTCTCCCGGGAGCTGGGGCCGAGGCAATGTATAGTTCATGAATCTTCGATTCTCTGTCCTATGTGGAGACATAAGTACTTACTCTCGGGCAGGATCCAGACCTGATGTCAGCACATTTGCTTCTGGCAGATTGGCGCCTTGTGTCCATAAATGTGCGGTTGGTGCTCGTGGGCCATCTGAAGACCATTTCGGCCAGCATAGTGTTCTAGCGAGATTAATCCATTCCGTCTGTATACCGTATGTGCATCCGCATACATTCGCCGCTACAGTGGCTGAACCCGGTTAGGAAAATCTAGCCACGTAACTTTGCTAGCTCGGAAGCTGATAGACATGACTGGAAGACCCACGGTAGCATTTGAAACGTCTTCCATTGTTACACGAGGTGTACGTATGGCTGCAATCTTGCCTGCCTCGTGTAACCGACACAGTGCTCGACCGTTGGTGGCCACATACGCGACTTACACATATGATATGAGTTGAGCATCTATGATAGCTCACATTCCAGCTCTTCGCATGTATGAACCCCAACCCTTTTGACTCGGGACGTGTGCATTCTTCCAACTCATTATCAGGTCACAATGTCCGTGTCGACAGGCTCCCAACCCACTGTGCCCAAAATTCAAATCAATTGTGAGTGCCGAAACGTTGATAACACAAGTTCACTCGCAAATAGCTGATCTAATTGTTCTCATAAGATATCGAACTGTCAAATATCAAACATCTCGAATCTGCGGAGCTGCAGATTAGTGGTCATCGACACATTTTGCATAGGAAGGACAAAACTCTCCGAGCCGAGTTCATGTAAGACTATTTTTGGGAAAAGACAGCAAACTAAATTCTACATCATAGAGACCTAACTTTACATGAGCAATGTTGCTTGCGAATTTCCTATAAAAAGCAATTCATTGGACTCAGGAAGAAAAGGTCAGACGAATATGTTACTCTGAACCTTCGTGAAATTCTGTCGGCCGCGAATGAGAAAGGTATGGCGAGACGCATATAAACTCATTTCACAATCTCATCGGAATCATACAGAGTTTGTTCAGATACATAACAAGACGCGAATTGTTCTCGGCATCACGATACACGTATGTTTAATTTATGTGAAGTCTCGCAACTTATCTCGTCGGGGATGGTGGTAGGGTCAAACGGATAGTCGAGGGGGCGTGCTGCCAACGGGAAACGAGCAACTTCAACCTACTACTGGAGAGATTCTGGAAAGGTGTCCTCGGTACGTCGAGGTTTGACACAGGTATTCTGAGAGTCGCTCAGCTAAATTTGGGTGATTTTTGAAGTTTCCGCATTCTGGTGATCGGAAAGGTACTATCTGGCTGGTTTGGATTCTCGAAGCTACCATTTATCTCGCTTCTGTGCAGACTGGCGTGGGCAAATCTTCCTTAATCCAGCACGCATTCGGCGTCGAAGGAGATGTACGGCTACTACGCGCTCTACTGTATGATATTGCTAACCGGTTGGCTTTGCCAGCTTGTTTCGCATGATCGTCCAGGCGACGCCCACATAGATGAGGCATTCATCTCGCCGCGGAATGAACGATTCGTTCTACACGATAGCAAGGGTTTCGAGCCTGGTGAAGGGGGTAATTTGTCGACGGTGAAAGAGTTCATTCAAAGACGGAGGCAGATGCGAGATTTGAAAGATCAACTGCATGCCGTTTGGTAAGCCCTTTGCATACACGAGTATACATCCGAACATCCGAAGTATTTAATGCGCCCATAGGCTTTGTTTTGAGATACCTTGGGCCGATGGGCGGTTACTGGAGGCAGGCGTAGAAGAATTTCTTAGGTCCAAAAATGACATCCTAAGAGACAGTTCGTGAGCTCGCCTTGAAACCACTTTCGCTGATCTGATCGTGTGTAGTCCCCCTTGTCCTTCTTTTCACTAAATACGACATGCTTGTCGAGCGTGTCTGTGACGACATGGAGAAGGAACATGATTCCAAGGTGATGGACGATAGCGATGTCAAGCTTCAAGTGGAATCCAAATTGGACGCTCTTTGCATCAAGCCGATTGAGGAGCTGACAGGACGCAGAGATATTCCCTATATTCCGGTTTCCAGTACGTGACAATGATATGCTCAAACTATACACTCGTCCAATCGATGCTTGTTCCAGATGAGGAAGGCTACGAGAATTCGCTCGTGAAATTGGTCGAGCTCACATACAAACATGTTTCCAAGCATGTTGCAGAGGAGGCATCGGTTGTAACTGCAATGGCTCAAAGGGTGGATCCCAAGAGTAAAATAGTCGAATCCATTGCGTAAGTGCTGAGGTTACTACCCAACGCTCGCTCATAATTCTTGCAGAGTTGGCAAGAAACGTTCGCTCTCCCCTGCCCATGATAGATATCGATACTCACGAAACTTTGCCCAGGCTATTGGAAGGCCTTGGCGGCAAGTCCAAACTTCGAAGGCCACACAATGTGGGATTGTTTTCATGTAATCCACACCGACATCGTTACTATTTGGAACTTTCATGATACCTCTGGCGTAAGTTGTTCGACTATTGCTGCCAAATTGTGTTCGTTCACCAACAGCTGTCTCGCAGCATCTTAAGAGCAATGAGTTTAGAGCGCTAATAGTAAACATGGTTGGAGACGTGCAAACTCGCACTATAACAAATCCAGTCAAGATCCTGTAAGTGGCTTCCGAGGTCTTGGCTCTAATCGTGCTGACGAATCTGAATCTGTGCGATGTCACTCTAGCATGGGCGGAGGTTCATTCATTGTAGCTATTGCTGCTGCAGTCGGTGCCCTTGCCGGACCTGCAGCCCCGATTGTTGTACCGATTGCTGCGTGTGCAGTGGTTGCTGTGTGGGCTTACGAAGTATACGAACAATCGTCAGTGGTCCTCACTCTAGGTCTTTGAATTTCTCTTCACGTTGACTGACTTCCTGTAGGCGAGTGGTTCAGCAGAGGTTCATGGCGTATATTGTGGATCTGACGCATGTCATGGAGATCCTCTTAATAATCCTCGCTGGGAATAACCACAGCCCGCTCACTCGTCGGGCCATTAAGTTGGCATTCAATTCTTACTACAACTCCCCTATAAGAGCAAAAGTTCATGATAAGATCCAGAATTATCGAGGCAGTGGGATTTCGCGCGGCCGGGATGCGATTCTGGAGATGATCGAGTCCATGATGAAGCCCATTCCAAATGACACCACAAATTTGTTTCAAAATAGAACTCTGGATGTGAATTTAGACCAGGACGAAGACTGGTAGGGAGCACGAGGTTCTCAGTGTTGTATTGCGTACTTTATGACATACCGATATAGTGCTACATGTCTAGTCTCCAAAGAATCTAGCGCAATAAAGAACTATCAAAGCATGATTTTAGTTGCCTGAGATGGAGAGCGAAGTGGGTCAAAGGAAAAGTGCCGCGCAGCAAGGACGGGTTCACATATACTCAACTTCGGGGACGAATTGTAACGATAGTCTTGCGAGCCCATTCTGGTCTGACAATTCGAAGATTGCGGATTCGATAGCATTCGCACAGATGCCTCCGTACTGGTTGACACAGCGCGAGACTTCAGTACGGGATTCTGCGGCAAATGAGGGCAATACGATCGTGACGGCGGTACCAAACGGGGGGAGAAAATCGCCAAAATCAGGTTGAAACCAAGATGGGGACAAGCTCGAGGCCATGCCTTCCCTTCAGACCTTTTGCATCCCGAGAACCGACGCCCAAACCTTGACGTTGCGACGAAATATATTTGAAGGCTATAAAGTGGAGGGTGGCCTTACAAAGCGACCAATTTAGCGCGAAGATGTGATTATCTTGCCCAGATGTGTCCCTGCCGCCACCTGGCCCATCATGGAGCCTATATGCTTCCGTTCCCTGCCTGCCTGCAGAAGCGCAGCAAGTCACAATTGGCGACATCGCTCTTGAGCGGGGCCATGATCCCGCACCGCTAAGACGAGGCAAACTGAGGGAGGCAATGACCGTGTAATGCTTTAGAGAAACAACAAGTATTAGTTTCATGGCAAGAACTTGAACGCAGAGAACGCACGTCGGTTATCCAGCATTATCACTCGTCGTATCGATATCCACCGAAAGATGCTGGGTCAATGCGGCGGGCGGATCGTGTGACAGCACTGTCGATCTCAATCGGCGTTTACCTCGAGTTTGCTTAGTCATACTTTTCCGAAGTGCTTGCGGCTTGCAGCTCAGTGCCATGCCTGCATCGTGATGTCCACTCTCTCCACGACTCGATACACTGCTGCTTTAAATGCTTGTCGGTGCGCTTTATGAGTTTACTAGACTCAGATCAAAAGCTCAAAGCAAATATTAGAGCGGCTCTTCCGCCAAGCTGACTCCGAGCCCATCCATGCTCTGTCCTCCTTAAATCCTCCAGCTAGAGTTCGTGAGGGCGATTGCTGTCAGTCAAGACATACTTTCCTGCAAGGGATCACTTGATAGCGTCTTCATATTCTCCGAGGCGGAGGTGGATACGTCGCCTTATGAAGGGCCTATTCTGTATACCCGTCGAGATGAGGCTGCGCTCGTTCTCGTTACTCGACGCCGTGGACGGGCCTCATGCGTGCTAGCTGATCAAGATTGGCAGACTTTGTCTCACAACGTGACTGAAACGGAGGCCCCACTGCGTGATCATCCTCATTACTGGCAATACGTCTTGACATGTGCATGGATTGCTACCTCGTATTCTTGATTTGCTTGCGTTGTACAATCCTTCCTGCCCCGTAAGCGGTGAGTACTCCGTCGCTGCATTTTCTCGTTCCGAAATATTGATTCACTCCTAGAAGCGGTCCACACTACCCAGTCGCCAGTTCAGTTTGCTGGGCACGCCATGAATGAATCATAATTTATCGTGAAGCATTTCTCTCGGGATATAACATATGCACTGGTACCAGTGCAGTGCCCTAATGATAGGAATCATTACTCAAACCGGGCGGGACGTGAATCCCTGATCGGCGTCTTGCACGATGCTTCGATGCTTCCTTCGATGCGGCTGCTTTGTCACTTTCAGTAGACACTTTCCGGGTCATTAGAATCCAATTTCTCCCCGTACAGACGTGGCATCCAGCCACCTAGACCTCGCTTCTGCTGCTGATGGACGCGCCCGAGACGACGAGGAGAGCCCGAGTACGTCCGTGTCAATACGACTTCAATTATGCACGCCTCTGAAGTCTTCCGTCAATTGTAAAAATTCTAATCGCAACGCAACATGATCAATTTGGAGACTGACACCAATTATGTGTATCACAGACCAGGACATGCGAGATCTCAAGAGCTTGCATCCCCTCTCTTGGCAGCACCTCTGACAGCGTCAGCCACAGCGGATAGACATGGATAGGACTTTCCATTGGAGTGGGGGCGTGAAGTAGCGAACTATATGACATTTCTCTGATTGTCGATGACCGCGGGGCAATAAGAAGTTGAATGACCGAATACACCTTATGCGGTGAGAATATTTCATTTCTTTTGCCATCCGCATCTACGATGCCTGACTAATAGTCATTGCACTGGAAATAAAATAGTGAGTACTGGGAGACTCAGTATCTAGATTTCTGGAATCGCCTCCAAACTCAATCCATGCACTGCTGCTCTATTCGACGCCTGCGCAAGATGCAAAATGTGGGATTGGTAGCTGTCGGGAAATGTATGATAAGCTCCACTTACATCTTGAATGATCGGGCCGAGGACTCAATCATTGTTACGTGAACACGGCGAAGTCAAATTTGTAAGTTCGTACACTTGGTCCCGGTTCGTATAAAGTCAACGTTATCAGGATCTACATCTCCCAGCTAACTGGTTTCCACTCGTCTACACGTCTAGGTTTGACAAAGGACTGGGCCACATATTAACGGAAATCCGCAATCATGCCTCTCGTAGAGGTGTGGAGTTCATTTCTTATCCTTGGTTCTGTCGCTCTCGCATGGCAGTACTTGGAAATACGGAAGATCAGGAATGCCCTGCGCAACATTGCTGGACCCCCGTCCGCATCGTATGTGAAAGGTATGTTATCGTCTCGACATGTAGGCCTTGCGATTACTCATGATATGGCGTAGGCAACATTCCCCAATTTTTCTCTCGCGACAGCACAAACTTCCAGCGGCACCTAGCATTTGACTATCCGCCCGTCGCCAAGTTATACAGCATGTTCGGCGTAAGTGCTGTCTCGGAGTACCAGTTTGTCACATTAACATAACCCCGCCTATAGCGACCAATGTTGTATGTTTCCGACCCAAAGGCATTGCACACGGTCATGATCAAAGAGGAACCTTCATTTCCAGAGCCTGATTCGTTCATTGGGTAATAATCTCAAGTCTGATTGTGCATAACTAACGGCCGCCTCAGGATGAATAGTCTGCTATTCGGACGCGGCCTGCTTGCGACTTTGGGTCAGGATTTCGTCTCTGTTTTGATAGCTGGGGTTCGCACTGACACGACACGACTGGCAGGCGATACACATAGAAAGCAGCGCAAGCTCCTCAACCCGGCGTTCTCTATCAACCATATGCGTCATATTATACCGATCTTCTACAACGTAGTGCACCGGGTAGGATCATTCATGATTGTGGCCGTTGTATCGAAACTGACACTTCATGAATATGGCAGCTTCGAGAGGGAATTAGGAGGCAAGTTGCCGGTGGGACTGAAGAGATCGACATGTTGAATTGGATGGGCCGTACTGCACTTGAATTGATAGGCCAAGGGGGTCTTGGATACTCCTTCGATCCCCTTGTTGAGGACGTGCACAACGAGTATGGCCACGCTCTCAAAACATTGGTGTGCGTGCACTCTCTGACAAGGTGTACAGTACTAATCGTATCGTTCGCTGCAGTCCGAACATGGTCAAACTTCCCGTAGTGCGGCTTATGGTTCCCTACCTCATGAAAGTGGGGCCCGCTGCCTTTAGGCGCCTCATAATCAACCTCATACCGGATGGCGATGTGCAGAGAGTGAAGTGCATCGTTGACACCATGGATTTTCAATCGCGTGACATATTCGAGAAGAAGAAAGCTGCTCTTTTGCAAGGCGAGGAGGCCGTCTTGCAGCAGGTGGGAGAAGGCAAGGATATCATCAGTATCCTCAGTGCGTCCAGTTCCCAAGATAAGTTCTCCGTGCTGGGTTGATGTCCTAGCAGTGCGAGCGAATGCTTCCACTTCCGAGGCTGACAGATTGCCTGAGGACCAGATTATCGCTCAGATGTCGTGGGTATCCTACTCTATTCCTATGATATGTGATTGCTCACTTTGTCATAGAACCCTCGTCTTCGCTGCGACGGACACAACATCAAACACGTTGGCCCGCATCTTACAGATACTGGCAGAGCGTCCGGACGTACAGGAGAAGCTGCGTGCTGAAGTGCTAGACGCGCATGCGGGAGAATCCTTGTCATATGATGAACTCGACCAGCTCCCGTTGCTCGATAGCGTGTGTCGGGAGACATTGCGACTGTAAGCCGGTCTTATCAACTATCCCGTGATCAGTCTATCTTGCTGACAGGCTCCATTCTAGCAATCCTCCTGCTCAATTTACTTCGCGCGTGTGAGTAATTCTCGCCCCAATTGAATCAAATGCTAAGGCCGCTCGCTTGTTCAGTGCAAACCGGGACACTATTCTCCCGTTGTCCGAGCCCATCGTAGGGATCGATGGCAGCTTGATCACTGAGATTCCTCTCGTCAAGGGAACGGAGGTCATGATCGGAATCCTGGGCTGCAACGCGAGCAAACAACTCTGGGGCGAAGACGCGCACGAATGGAAGCCCGAGAGGTGGCTCGCTCCCCTTCCGGGCAAGGTCACGAAGAGCACAATTCCTGGTGTCTATGCTAACCTGTAAGTATCCAAATATGTTTTCCACGAAGCCTGCTGACAAGTTATATCTTAGGATGACGTTCGTCGGTGGCAAGAGAGCTTGCATGTATGTCCTCCAAATTTTAGTTCTCGCATGAATACGACGGGCTCACATCAACTGATCCAGCGGCTTCAAGTTCTCGGAGATGGAAATGAGTAAGTAGACTGGGGATGCCTTACTGCGATACGATTTGGTTCTGATTTGTCTGGCAGAGGTTGTCTTGGCAGTCTTGCTGACCAACTTCACTTTTGAGTTGACGGGCAAGCCCATTGTGTGGAATGCTGCCGGTGTGCGCTACCCCACGGTGGGCAGTGTGAGTAACCAGCCTCAGATGCCACTGAAAGTGCGGCTATATCAAGGCGCGAAGGCGTGATTGAGGACAGCTCTCTGCCTCGATACTCACACTGGTCATATTGCTCTCCTTCGCCGATATTGACGCTGTTGACATTGCTGTTGTTCTCCATTATATGCATATTCAAATATGGTACCAATCTTGTTGAATGAATAACAGCCATCTGCAATCTGTAATAAACCTTTGGCGCGTGATCATTCAGCGCAAAATATCGAGAATAAAGCGAGATATAACAAATAGTTCTACCAGTTTCCTGGGCGTAGAATCGTCTTCCTCGATTCGACTTTGATGCAATTGCTGGTGTTAGATGTCATTTTGCGTACCAGGAGTCAGCAGTCAAATTCTGATATTATTGATCAGGGGAAGCACAACAAGGAGACTACACCAAGCGCAATCGAGTTGCTAAGAATTTTCGAGCCCTTCAAACCGGCTTAACCAGATGCGTCGCTGCTCCCTTGCTGTGCAAGTACGACAGGCCAAGGACGCTTTATGAGTCCTTTATGATCAACGCCAAACTTGAGATGGTCAACAGCTAGCTCGTCATGTGGTTTATGCGCACCTACTTTGACTGATTATCAGCGCGCATAGCTCGAGGGACGCAACGGAGCAGAATCGTGTGTCGAAGACATTTACGTGAAAGACTGTCCCGAACGAGTACAAGTCGGTACTCCTTGAAAATGCTTGGTACGTGGTGATACTCGTCTCACCCAGCTTGGGAAACCGAGTCTGGTGTCTCGGCATAACACCTGCGTTGTTGATGGGCAGACTGGCGTGTTCGCGTCGAGAGTTGACCTCCGCCGCGAGCGACAACAGCAATCCACGGTCAATGATGTCACTCTGGAGCATGCTCCATCGTAGCTAGCACAGGAGAAACAAAAGATCGCGCTAGAGTCACTCGTACAGCTTGCGGAAGATGCAGAGCTATTCCATCTCTAGTCAAAACTACAACCGTACCCTTAGCATCGAATTGTCGGGGAATGCACGACGTGCTTTTTCGTCATTTTGATCTCAAATTATGGTACAGAGGTGTCGTGGCCATCGCGAAGAGTGCTGAGAAGAGCCAGTACAAATCAACTCAAAATCCTGTATGTGACCGAGAGTGTCAAATGATCTTTGCGATCTTATGTACCTACATAGACTGTCCGATGCGGATAGTTTCCATAGCTTGTGAGGGCCAAGAGTATTAGAATCTTTGGGACGTATAAGCAGACGCAAGTGCAAAAACTCGGAATCAGCCTGATAACACACCTCGTAAAAAGTGCCTTTGCAGCTTGGGAAGGCCTTGAGCGATAAAGTTCAAGCTCAAGATCGAAGTGCTAGTGCGCCGTGCGGATATACATTGGACGGGTGGTTCCGTATCACGATAGCAAGTTCTGCTAGCGCTCATGTGGCGCGGCTGCTGCCAAGAGCGCCCCCGCCGATGTGTCGCTAACCAGTGAATGATGAGGCTAGGCTAGTCTTCAAAATACTTGCAAGTGCGTTTTCTAACTCACTACTTCTAGAGTTACTGAAAATTTCCATCTAGATACCAGAATTATTCTTCCATTAAAGCCCTGCACATCTTTTGCGAACATGCAGCCAGAGCTCGTGAACCGGCGATTGTCGTGCGCAAATGCGATCCTGATACTTTCATCCACCTAGTGCACTATTATTTCCGGCATGGAATCAGCTGACCGCATAGCTCTAGTGGCTTCAGATTCGCTGAAACGGAGATGGTTGTAATCTTGTAAAGGAATTGCTCCGCATACGCAAAAAATATCCTGATTTAGAGGGCCGGGACTTGATGCGACGATCGCACGGGCTCGAGTCCCATGCAGTTGTGTGACACGCTTCTGATTGTCAACAGCCACGGGGCAATAAGAAGCTGAATGACCGAACGGATTTTAGGCGGTGAGAGTATTCTATTGCTTCGCGTCATTCGCGTTTACGATGCCTGACTTATTGCCTATATCACCAGGAATATCCGAAAAAAGCTACAAGGCTTAGCTCCTAGATAAATGTCGAGCTTGTCTTGTCGAAATGGAGAATTCTCAACTATACACGCTGCTATTCTATTCCGCCCTCGCACAAGCTGCGAGGCACGGGTTCCGTGGCTATCCAACAATACACGATGCACCCACTCTTGTCTAGAACGCTCGGGCCGAGGACTCAACGGTTGTTACGTGGGCACGGTCAAGTCAAATTCGTTGATTCCTCACATAACTGGTCCCGGTTCATATAAAGTCGACGCTGTCTGGATCTACGTCTGTGAGGATTCCGCTCAATCACTCGTCCCATTTTGACGTTCCGCTACTAGAAGCGTACAGATTACAGCAGGCATCAGTCATCATGCCTCTTGTGGAGCTGTGGGGCTCTCTTCTCGTCCTCGGCACTATTGTTTTCGCATGGCAGTATTTGGAGATACGCAAGGCCAAGAATGCCTTGCGAAACATCCCTGGTCCCCCTCCAGCATCATTTCTGACAGGTATGTTATCGTTCTGAATGCACGTCATGCGACTGCTCATAGCAGAATGTAGGTAGCATACCCCAATTCTTTTCTCGCGGCAGCACAGATTTCCAGCGGCACGTGGCATTTGACTATGCTCCCGTCGCCAAGCTGTGTGGTATGTTCGGCGTAAGTACTTCCTCAGAGTGTCACTTTATTGTATTAAAGCATTGCGTATACAGCGGCCCATATTGTACGTCTCTGACCCGAAAGCATTGCACACGGTCATGATCAAGGACGAACCCATGTTTCAGGAGCCGGATGCATTCATTTCGTACGACCATGCGCTTCTGACTGTGCATAGTTTCCTGACCGCCACTCTAGGATGAATATCCTGGTGTTCGGACGTGGACTAGTTTCGACTCTAGGTCAGAACTTCGTCTCTAACACGCTAGCTGAATCGTCCTAACGCAGTATGGGCGATAGGCGAAACACACCGCAAACAGCGCAAGCTGCTCAACCCAGCATTCTCTATCAAGCACATGCGCCACATCATTCCCATCTTTTACAGCGTGGTGCACAGGGTAGTTCATAGTCCTAGTACTGACGTCGAACCTGACGCTGACAAAAATAATAGCTTCGAGATGGAATCGGGAAGAAAATCGCCAGCGGGACCGAGGAAATCGACATGCTAGACTGGATGGGCCGCACGGCGCTTGAGCTGATAGGCCAGGGTGGCCTTGGATACTCCTTCGATCCCCTTGTCAACGACACGCACAACGAGTACGGCCAAGCTTTGAAATCTCTCCTGTGCGCACATGTTTCTCTGCGGCAAGTTGTCCAGTGCTGATCGTATCGGGCACTGCGCAGCCCGACCATTGCCAATCTCCCCATATTGCGGCTCATAGTTCCCTACCTCGTAAGGCTGGGGCCTGCCGCCTTCAGGCGCTTCGCGCTCAACCTCGTGCCGGACAGCGATGTCCAGAGGGTGAAGCGCGTCGTCGACACCATGGATTCGCAGTCGCGTATGATATTCGAGAAGAAGAAGGCTGCGCTTCTTCAGGGCGAGGAGGCCGTCTTGCAGCAGGTGGGAGAAGGCAAGGATATCATCAGCATCCTAAGTGCGTCCAATTTTCTGGATGTGTGCTTATCACCGGACTGGTGTGCCACCAGTGCGAGCGAATGCTTCCACCTCCGAGGCGGACAGACTGCCCGAGGACCAGATCATTGCCCAGATGTCGTGGGTGTTCCGTACTGCCCCGATTCGCCGTTTTTCACATGACGTGCAGAACCCTTGTCTTTGCTGCGACGGATACGACATCGAACACGTTGGCCCGCATCTTGCAGTTGTTGGCAGAGCACCCCGACGTGCAGGAGAAGTTGCGCACTGAGATCCTAGATGCGCGCGCAGGGGAGCCCTTGTCATACGATGAACTCGACCAACTTCCCCTACTCGACAGCGTGTGTCGGGAGACATTGCGACTGTGAGCTGGCCCGGTCTACCACCCTGTTACTGACCTACCTGATGGGACCTCGCCCAGGAATCCGCCTGCTCAGATCATCTCACGTGTGTACGTACTTTTCGCCCACACAGAACTCCTGGGTTTAACATCGCTCGCTCGTCCAGTGCCGACCGAGACACTATCCTCCCGCTGGCCGAGCCTATCGTAGGAGTCGACGGCCACTCGATCACCGAGATCCCTGTGGTCAAGGGGACTGAGGTTATGATCGGAATCCTGGGCTGCAACGCGAGCACACTGCTCTGGGGCGCAGACGCGCACGAATGGAGGCCCGAGAGGTGGCTGTCCCCCCTCCCGGGCAAGGTCACGCAGAACACCATCCCCGGTGTCTACGCTAATCTGTGAGCATCAGTCTGCGTTGTCCACGACGCCTGCCGACTAGCTGTACCTTAGGATGACGTTTATCGGCGGCAAGAGAGCGTGCATGTATGTCTTCCGTTTTCGGTTTTCATGAATGCCGAATTTACGTCTATCGATCCAGCGGCTTCAAGTTCTCCGAGATGGAGATGAGTAAGTGAACTGGGGCACGCCTTACCGCGAGAAGACTTGGTGCTGACCTGTCTCGTCTCCGCAGAGGTTGTCTTGTCGGTCTTGCTGACAAACTTCACCTTCGAGTTGACGGGCAAGCCCATTGTGTGGAACGTCGCTGGTGTACGCTACCCCACGGTGGGCAGCGTGAGCAACCGGCCTCAGATGCCGCTGAAAGTGCGGCTGTATCAGGGCGCGAAAACATAACTGCGGGCTGCTCCTTGCCCAGACTGCCGTTTCGTCCGTGTCATTCTCCTTCGCTTACTTGACGCTGTCGACGTTGTTAGCGCTGCTACACTCAATCATGTATGTATCCATTTTGTCGAAGGGAACTCTATTTTCAGGCGCTTGGCATGATAATCATTCAGCACAAATTATCGAGAACAAAGCGAGATACAATACACAAACACTGTCACCGGACCTATCTAAGTGACGATTCCCTCGCCAGTTGATTGTATCGACTCCATTAAAATATCGACCGTCTCTTCCGATTCAGCATTCACCCTTTGTTCTCTCCGCGCGGCCGCTCGCGATTTCAGTTCTTCCACTTCAGCTGAAAGTTTTGCCTATTTTGCGGGTTTGGCTCAGTGCGGCAGACGGGGCATGAAATCTGCCACTTACGACTTTCCCTTCTAACGTTTTGGAGTCGAAGATGGAGAATGGCGGTGGGGGCGTCTCGAATTCCTTCTTACGGCCTGTGTGTCCAAATAGTGAGCTCACGCATGGGTCGGAAGAAGATTTGGACTGGAAGCACCGAATGCTGCGAACATGAAAACCTCATTCATGAGATCGTGATTGCGCCGGTAGCGCGTCAGCGCCAGAGTCCGTGTGGAAATCATGTCGCCTTCATCTGTGCACAAGCAAAGTCAGTCAACGAAAATGAGGGAAATGCATCGCTGACCTGCAGAATCATCTTCCTCAATTCGACTCTGATGTGGCTGCTGCTGGCGCTAGATGCCATTAGCCCTCGAACGATACAGTTCAACATGTCAGACTACACACAGCGCCCACGTTCCCATTGCGATCCCGCTGGTTCCTCCGCTCCAGCGCCTCCATGTTGCTGTTCTGCTGCGCCAGCAGCGCCTGCGGATTGGCAGGCATGCCCGGGGTGAAGGGCACGCCCAGCGCAGGTGGTGGCTGGCGGTCTGCGGCAGCCCCCCTGGGATAGACCTTCTGTCCCAACTTGTCGCCCATGACGAACACAGCGGGCTCGTTGATTTCGCGAAGCGGGTACGCGCGGATGGGCTGGTTCAGGGCGGGCATGATCGCTGCACGGCGCAAGGGTGAGGAGCGGGCTCTACCGGCGCGAGAGGTGCAGAGGGTGCGCACGCATAGACTGTCCGCGAGTGTAGTGAATCAGCACGAGCTGTGGGTGACCGCCCTTTTGCAGCCGGTAGCGCCGCCGCACGCGCCATGCCATGGAGTCCGCGCCCGGGACGAAACCGAACTTGACCTCCATGACTTCGAGTTCCTACGACGAGCATTCAACAATGCCATGGAGATGCGGCGGGGGTTGTGTACGCACCCTGCCCCCTCCGGCCGGAATGATCCCCTTCTGCTCCTGCTCTTGGTACCGGATGCCATCAGGCGGGAATGGCAGCTGGGGCGTCAAAAAGATAAGGAACAACTGTCCCTCTACGCATTTGTTTATTCAAAACGCTCCAGACGTTTTTCGAAGGCAGATTGCTCACCTGGCGGTTTGTCGATGTACCCCCATGTGAACGGTGTGTGCTGGGCCAGCTGGGTTGCGCGGAGGAGCATGGAGACGGCCATCTCGTATGCGAGGATGTTGGGCTGCAGACCCAATGTCTCTGGATATCTGAGACATAGGCCTTCGTGCTGTGCTGTTACGGACATGGTCGAGTTCGCGTCGAAAAGCGAGTCGCGGTCGCGGGGGCGCATCTCTGTGAGTCACGTGCAGGAGAGGTCTGTAGCGCCCGGTTTACGTGGAATGGGGACGTAAGCAGACGCGGTTGTCAGCGACATTGCCAATCTTCCTTACGCGCTCTGCGATATCATTGCTCATCCAAAACGCCTGCGCGTCGCGGCGTTTGCTACTGGGGTACAGCCCGCGTGGCGTATATAACAGCGCAGCATCAGCCATGCCACCGGTCCAACGTCCCATCAGCTCTCGCTCACCTCCCTCGCCATGGATTCCAAAAAGTCGGACAACAAGAGGAACGTCGTCGTCGTTGGCGGCGGCTTTGCAGGCACGCTCGTCGCCCGTGCGCTGTCCTCAAAGCTGGATGCGTCCCAGTACAACCTCATCCTCGTCAACGACCGTCCATACGGGATCCACCTCATCGCCGGCGCGCGCATGGTCGCCTCCGACCTCGACCAGCTCGACTCGGAGGACAAGGCATTCATTCCGTACAGCAAGCTCTTCGTCCACGGAAACGGCTCGTTCCAGGAGGGCAGAGTCACCGCTATCGAGGAGGCCGGAAAAGGCGCCGGGGGAGAGATTGTGCTTAGCAACGGGGAGAGGCTGGCCTACGCCGCCCTCGTCCTCGCGACTGGCAGCTCGTGGTCCGGGCCATTGGGCTTCCCCGAGTCTGACCGCGACGTGCGCGCACACATCCAGCGATGGCGCACGCAGATTGCGGATGCCAAGGACATCTACATCGTCGGCGGAGGATCGGTTGGCATTGGTGAGCTCGTCGCCATCGCTTTCGGCCTCGCATTCATTTGACCTCTCTCTGCGCTCCAGAGCTCGCTGGAGAGATCAAGGAAGCGTACTCGGTGTGTCTCCTTCGCAGACTCGTTGCATTCTGTCTTTCCTCAGTCGTCGTCTGACCATCTCGTGCCTCTTCAGCACAAAAAGGTCACCGTCGTGCACAGCGAGGGCATGCTCCTGAACGGGATCTACCCCGAAAAGTTCCGTAAAGACATCGAACGGCGCGCCCGCGGCCAGGGCATCGAGTTTGTCTTCAACGACAAAGTTGACACGTTCCCTGCGCCCGGCGCTGTCGGCCTCACCACGCGCGGGGGCAAGCAGTTCTCCACTGCCGACCTCGTGGTGCGTGTCTCGCCCGCGCCTCTCCTCTCGCGCTGCTCACCCTGCTGCAGATCCCCTCCTTCGGCTCGCGCCCCAACACGGCGTTCGTCTCCACCCTCGGCTCCGACGTGCTCGCCGCGGACGGCAGCGTGAAGGTCAAGCCGACGCTCGAGCTACAGGCGCACGCGGGCATCTTCGCCGCGGGCGACATCGTCGCCTGGGACGAGGCGAAGCAGGCGGCAAAGGCGAACGCGCACGTGTCCGTCGTTGCGGCAAACGTGCTCAGCCACCTCGCGGGCGCGCCGCAGACGAAGCAGTACAAGGGCAGCTTCGAGATCATCATGATCCCGCTTGGGAAGGTGAGCGGCCCCCTCCGGCACGTGTGGGTCCCCGTTGTTGACGATCGATCGCCAGACCGATGGGGCGGCATACGCCAACATCCTCTGGGGCCTCATGTTCGGCGGCTGGGTCACGCGGCTGATCAAGGGAAAGTCGTTGATGGTGGGCACAGTCAGATCCGACAGAGGTCTCTGAGTCCGCTTGCGCCGACCGTCTCCTCTGCCGGCTCTCCTAGTCTAATATTATTCCCCTGCCCTCATCTTCATCTCGACATTCTATTCTTGTACTACTTACAGCCTGGATATCTTTTTGTTCACTCCTGGGAGAATCAATCTGCGTTCCCGATTCAAACGCGACATGGAACACGTCGCGTTCTGAGCATCACCAGCGCCTGATCCTTTTGCACCATGCCAGCATCCCGAGCTACCCACCTGAATGAACTGTCCAGAGTCGCTCGCATGCCACGTATCGGACAGAGACAGGATTATATGATGTATTGCACACACAACTTCTACAAACCGTGGTCAGTGTTTCAATCCTCCAGCGGCTGCTTGTTTTCCTAACGTGCCAACTGCGCATGGAGATCAAGTTCCACACATTCATGTGCCCGATCCCGTCCTACTGCGGATAGTCGTCAAAGACATCATAGCCGAGTCCCCACGACTTGGACGGATTCACGACACGCAGAGGCGGGTGCGACGTCGCCGCCGTCTCCAGCTGCTCAAACAGGTCTTCAGGCAGCGCGAAAACTGTCCGAGCACATGAGCATCTGCAAAGCCACGCGAGCCGGTACGACGCACTGTGATAGTTCTCCTCGACGCGCGACGGCGTGACGCTCTTCGGGAGCACGATAGTCTGGGCGGACAGAAGTCAATCCGCGCTCGACAGCCCAACCCAAGACCAAACACGTACCCCGCGCTGGACGTGCCACGAGATGATGACTTGCGCAGGCGTGATACCGAGCTGCTTCGCGATCGTCTGCACGGCGGGCGCCTCGAGGGACTCCTTGACCTGCTTGTTGCTGCCCAGCGGCGAGTACGCCTCGAGGAGCAGGCCGTTTTCTTTCGCCCACGCCAGGAGCTCCGGCTGCGGGTTCCAGTAGCTCAGCTCGACCTGGTTCACCGCCGGCTGCACCTTGAGCGGGTTTGCGGTCAGATTTTGGATCCTGCAAGAGGTGAGCAGTCGGATTGGATGGAGAACGCCGTGGGTGCGGACCTTGCGATGTTGAAGCTGACGAGACGCACGTTTAGCAATCGTCAAATGCAAAGAAATCGCTCAAGACACACTTGCTGACGCCGATGTTGCGGACTTTGCCCTTCTCCACCAGCTCCTCGAGCTTCTGCCATGTCGGGTAGGGGTTGGCGGTGAGTTCCTTATCGACTTCCGTCGTGTCCTTTTTGAAAGCGACAGGCCTGAAGCGCACTTCGTACCAATGACATGATATATCGTGTCAGACGTGCGCACCAGTGCATGAGGTACAGGTCGAGGTATTGCGTGTCCAGCTTCTTCAGGGAGTCGTCCAACGCCGACTCGACATCTTCCGGCGCGTGGAACGTGTTCCAGAGCTGGTGGCGCGATCAGGAGCAGCCTCGCGACGATGCGCACGGGGACGCCTCACCTTGGACGTGATCCAGAGCTCCTCGCGCGAGACGCCGCTTTCCCTGATCGCCTGGCCGACTTCCTCCTCGTTCTGGGAGCAGAGCGGCTGAATGTCGGAGATGGGGCGACGACGGGCACGCGACTCACCCGGTAGATCCACGCCCCGTCGATGTGACGGTAGCCGGCCTGGAGCGCGGTCGTCACAGCAGCCCCCACCTCGCCTCTGCTCGCCTGCCAGACACCTGTGCAGACGGGGGACGTTCAGCGCACACTTGCAGCCAGAGCTAGGTCCACCGTACCCAAGGCGACCGACGGAATCTTGTCTCCAGACGGCAGAGTGTAGTGGGTGGGTAGAGACGAGAGGTTGCGCTGGAGCCCGCTGTGGCACGGGGCTCGCAGCTTCAGCGCGGCTCTAGTGAGGAATCTGACACCAGCGTAGGCGAGGACCATGACGGCGATAAGTCTGGCGACGGCTGTGAAAGAGAGTCTGCTCGTAAGCCGGGAGGTTGGGGAGGAGGTTGGGTCGACCGAGACCTCCTCCGGGTCGTGGGTAGATAACTGCTTGTAAGCGGGGGGCATGGTGTTCGCGAAGGTGGGGGCTTGTAGTCAGCGTGGCTTTATAACCCCGGGAATGGGCATCCGCGGTGGAAATGACGCTATGTCTTGGTGATCTTCCATATGTTTTCATCCGCCCAATAGGAGACATTTGCCGCGGAGATCCGCGAATCGGTTCGCGGCTGGCCGTGGGAATATTCGCCGGCAGCGAGCTGTGCTCGCAGATGCCGGGCTATCTCCGTATTCCCCAGGTCCAATTCACGAGCAACACAAGCATTCGAACACAATGGCATCTGCCTCCAAGTGGGTGCACACTGCCTCTTGAATGTCTCCGATGCTGAACGAGTGCGATTAGGACTCTGGCCTCGTGCATCTTTTGTAAAATCGTGAAAGGTCTGTCCATCATTCGGAGCATTTAAGACATCGGGCAGTTGACGATAAGCTAACCACTTTCCTCCACAGGAGAGATCCCCAGTTTCAAGCTCGTCGAGACGGAGACGGCGTACTCCTTCCTCGACATCAATCCCTTGTCCAAGGGCCACTCGCTGGTCATCCCGAAATGTGCGCCTCCTTGGTCCACGTCCTGCTCACCCACCGTCTGATCTCTGCGATCGCGCTCACTTAAAAGACCACACCGAGAAGATGCACGAGCTCCCGGACGAGGAGCTCGCCGACATCCTCCGCGTTGCGAAGCAGATCGCTATCGCCACCGGCGCGGAGAACTACAACATCCTTCAGGTCCGTCCCCCGCCGTGCCTCAGACGTGCGCGTCCTTACCCGCATTTTTGCATGACCGGCAGAACAATGGCCGCATTGCGCACCAAGAAGTCGACCATGTGCACTTCCACGTCATCCCGAAGCCGAGCGCAACAGACGCGGAGGGCTTGGTCATCGGCTGGCCTCAGCAGAAGGTGGGGATGGACGCGCTGGCGAAACTTCACGAGGAGATCAAGGGGAAGTTGTGATAGAGACGCTCTCAAAGCCAACCGGAGCCTGTTCGCATGTACAAAACTGGCCTTCAATCCCAATACGGATGCTCTCAGTCAGTAAGGTGACTTGTGTGTGCATCGATCACGGATGGCATTGAGAGATATAGATGTTATACACTCGGATTTGATGGGTGGCCGCGGACACCAATATTCCGACGGAAATGCAACAACGTTGTCGGGATGATCTCCCATATTAAACTCTACGATTGTTTCAAGGTAGGTGCGCTATCGCATATGGGGGTTCGTCGAATTATTTTCCTAAAGCAGCGTTCCTTCAGGACTAAGGCTGGGAAGCACCAATGCTGGGAAGCTTTCCAATAATACTTGAGCGGAGAAGCCGTCACTTGGGACTTCATGTAACACGCCTAATTGAAGCTGTCACCACGCTGCGGTATGCGCACCCATATTTTGACCCCCCGTCACACACACCAAGTCACGTTGGGATGTTCTGAATCTCGATGACACAAGCGGTAACCAGTGAAGCAACAAATAAGCCGTGTCGATAATAGAATAAAATACCCTCGTTCTCAACTCACGTAAATTGCTAGATGGATGCGGCATAGCTAGAAGGGCATGTAAAGCATAATCATAATTTTGGCACAGTAAAGGTCATGGCCGGGTTCCCACTCCAGCGCTCAAAGGAAGAGGTCCACTTCGCTGTTTGATGCCATAACATGTATGGCAGTCCCACCCATCCGCGGTTTTTCATGACCGACGAGGTAAATGTTGCCCTGCACATAGCTGTCGCCTGACTGCGGGCGTATCTCCACCTGCCGCCTATGCTCCGGATCTTCCGCGCTCGCGTCGAAGTGCACTCGGGGCGGGTGCCAGTCCAGCGACGCGAGATCGAAGTGTCCGTGGAACGTCTTGGGCATGCGCACGGTTGCAGGCGCGTTCAGCGTGCAGGCACGCATGTCCACCAGGCTCCCGAGCGGAATCGCCGGGATGGCGATGTCGAGGGCGGCGTTGGTCGTCGCAAAGAAGGTCGTGAACGTGGCACTGTCGTGTTGCGCAAGGAGGCTGACGTTGGCCGAAATATGGCTGGATGATAGTCAGTAAGAAAAATATGAGGGGGGATGCCGCGGGGGAAACGTACGCGTTCGTGGTTTGGATGGAGACAACACTACGCTTGGCCGCGTCGCTTGCCATGACACGAGCGTCCACCTCTATAGGAGCATTCTGCGTGTGCAGGCTCAGGGAAGACTTTGCGTCCAACGATCCTTTGATGAGGCCGTTGGCAGTCGTGATCCGGATCATCTCGCCCCCCAGAGACTGTACGAGTCGCATATGTGTGTATGGTCAGGCAGTAGTTGCAACGGAGAACAGCAAGGCCACTCGCCTCCACATGAACAGGCTCGTCGACAGTCCGCAGCAGAATGTGCTGGAAAAACAAGCGGTCATGTAGATCCCCAACGTTGTGGATGAACCGAGGCATATTCGTCTGGAATCGCTTGATGTGCAGCGGAGAACCTTCCGAGGAGGGAAAGACGACCTTGACCGAAAACGCCATCCGGCGTGAACGTCTACCTCTATAGCGCGGGTCGTGCTGCAGGTAAAGTCGGTTAGCATGACGGGGACAAATCGTAGCGTGAGGAGCCACAGACCATAATCAGCGCTGCGCCTTCGGATTCTGGCGCAGAGCGCAACTGGCACAGCATGGTGCTGTGTCGCAGGTCTTCTCTGTCATCCACGAATGCTGTGACCTCCACATGCACGTCGCGGCTCCCGCTGTATTTCCTTCCATCGTCAATTAGAAACTCCACGGACCCGTGCAAATAATGCGTCTGATATTCTTGCGTGACAAGATCGAGCACGTCCGCGCTAGCGGAGAGAGGAATCGTGGCGGTCGCGGTGTACTGATACGTTGATCCTAGGAAGCTCGCGGGTTTCGGCGATGTGTGTGCACCAAAATGCCACGGGACACTCTGGGTGCAGCTACGAGGGGAGGGGACACCGATTTGGGTCATGGGTCGCCGAAAATATTGTCTCTGATCGCCAATTATTCTTTCAGAATTTATGGAAGTATCGACTGGGTGGACGTACCCGTCTGACGGCATGAACGATAGCTTGCGGGAGGATCGCCACGAGGAGCACGATGACCAGGACGATGCAACTAAATATTATACGCTTCCTTCTCTGTCGAAATATTCTGTTGCGTCGCGTTTCGCTGTCCTCTTCGTCTTCTGACTGCGGCAGCGCAATCGCCTGGCGGAAATGCAGTCGGGGGACAATACCCATGAAGAACGACAAGCGAGACGCCTGAGCTGGAACAACGCCTTGGCTTTCCATGTTTGTCTGTTCATGCTCGATGCCGGCCGCCTTGTCCAGGGACCAAACAGCAAGAGTCTCTTGTGAGTCACCGGTATGTATGTCTGTCATATCCCAGAGGAACAGTGGGTGGGTAAGATTCAACTGACGGACTGTGTTAGCGCCTCGAGGAAAATTGATGACTTTGGTGGGCGTGGAGGCTTTTAGGTCACCACGAGTCACTGCGGAATCGGCGAAGTTGAACCGGGTGGATTCCACCTCTTCCTCCTCCTTCACCTCATGACTGCGCCGTCGGGCCACATTAGTAATGTTGGCAATATGCCCGAACCTACGCACGATAACCCCGACTCATAAATTACACAGTATACTTGGAGGTTCCTACCGCGTGCGCGTCCGACCGTGCTACATTGCGAGATATCTACAATATGCAAGAAAATTTAATGCCAATGATTCTGACGCGGTGACAGCGCGGGCGTGGAGAACAGACCCTCCGCCTCGCGTACCATCGTTTCATGCCGAACTTACCGGATAGAAACTCCCGTATTCGCTGCTTAGGTGTCATGGCAGCAAAGGGACCGTGGGATCCATATAGAAAGTGACCCCACTACTCGCGCAATATTTTTTTCGTCCGCTGCACCGCAGCAGCGCTCTGTGTTAGCGCGGTTAAGCGGCTGAGGCACAAAGGCGAGCCATTAGTGAGAGGAAACCGGGCTTCTTGACTGTGGACGATTCCGTAGCGTAAGGGGGACAGTAAGAGTCTCGGGGACAAGGTTTTCTTCCATCTATGTGGACTGCGCTGAAATTCTCAAAGCAAGGGTCGCAGTATCTCAATCTTGGCGGGAGTTGCTCGCCATGTGGGGAAAGCCTTCTAGCAACATCGAGTGCTCAACTCAACCGAGTCCATGTATGAACGCTTGAGATAAGCCCGACACGAGGAGATGTCGGGGAGTGAACTGGATTTGATGCAGGCCTCACTCTGCGAAGATGGTCTCTATTCGAGACCATGAAGAGTGTCACAACTAAGACAACGTCAATGTGGCACCCAATAAGGAGTGAGGACATGTCTCTCGCCTCGCACCTTCTGTAAGGTCTGTCGTTTGCTTACGGACGTATTCCTGAGTGTCTCGTACTTTACCATCCGTAGACGAAATTCCCTGCTCGAAACCGAGAACTTAGCGCTGGAATGGATTCCTCGGCATCAATATGATCATTCACGGACCATCCCGAACTGCATGGCTCGATCTCGGCTCTAGGGTCCAAACTCTCAAAACCGACAGCCCCGGAGAGTGATTAATTGATGACCTCCTGTACCACCTGCGCGGAGGACTGTAGGTCGGTGTCATGACACAAAGCCAAGGCGCATCCCTGCCATCTAACACTCCAGCCCCCATGGGCAGAGAGCAATGGTGGGCACATCACATTCCAGCACGTTGATCGTCATACTAAAATCCGTTGATCACGAAACAGAGAGCCCGTCAAACAGCGGCTGGCGGTAGCAGAACGTGGAGCAGTATACGAAGCTTTGATAGACATGAATCGATAAGTAGTGTTGGCGATGCAATGCGCGATGCGGCTCGCAGTCATACCTATGCCAGGCATACGCTTTAAGAAGACCGATCATCATCATCTTGCAGCCGACAGCGTATTTGCACACATCACTATTTACATTCGCTGTCGTTATGAGACAGCGACCTGGACAGAAAGTCTATTCAATCTTCTCAAATTTGATTAGGCATTTCTGACCCTTCGGCCGAGACGACATGATTTGGTCATGCAGTTCCATGGAGGCCTTCATCTCTGGTGCCACACTGGTGCGACACGTCGTGTAGATCTCCTTCAGCAGCATTTTCATCTCCAGCAGAGCCAGGCTGTAGGCAGTGGGAGTCTGAGAACGGTAAACGACAGGAAAGCCATAGCACTCACTGCTTGCCAATACATCCTCTGCCTCCCGTAGAAAACGCGAAGAACAGCTGATTCCTATCCACCGCGCCCTTCGATTTAAGCCACCGCTCCGGGACGAACATCTCCGCGTCGTCGAATACCGCGGTATCAAGACGGTGCAGCGTGTACGCCTGGCAGCTGACAATGGTATCCTCAGGGACAAACTCGCCTGCAATTGTCCGCCCTCCCTTCGGGACCTTTCGCGGGAGACTCATCGGGATCGGCGCGAAGCAACGTAGACCTTCTTTCACGACCGCATCCAAGTACGGTAGGTCGTCGAGCGGCATTGTCGGGTTCGAGACGAGCTCCTTGTGTAGCTTTTCTTGGACGTCGGCGGTGCCCGGGAGGGAAAGGTGGTACAACAGGAAGCATAGTCCATCGCCTGTGGTGTCGATCCCAGCGATGGCATTGTCCAGCAACTCGGATGCGATCCCATTCGGCGTCGTCTCGTCCTCAACTTCTTGGAGCTTGTGCAGCACGGTGTGGCTTGCGATGTCGGTGCGGCGAGAGATGTCCAGCACTCGGCTCGCAATTGCCGCATCCCGTCGACGAGTTGTAGGCTCGAAGAAACGGGAAATGTAGGGGTAGACGACAGGGAAATAATGTTGGAGGTAGGAAACTAGAACAGAGTCAGTGATATGCGACGTTGATGATAAAAGACTAGGGTTTACTATGTAAGCCGTCGTCATACGAGAGCTCCTTTACTCTCAGCTGGTCGACCGCTTCTGTTAATGACCGTGTACCGTACGGGTCAAACAAGTGATATGTGATGCAATCAAGAGCATAACAGTGTGCATAAAACTACAGAATTATATGAGCATAAATCCCAAGACCCCGAGAAAATGGTATGCGCCGTACATAGATGTCAGCTGCTGCTCCCAGATTCTCCGTGCATTTTTCTACAAACTGTTCTGCCCGTTCCTGTATGCCGCTCACCGTATGGGGCTGCATAATGTAGGACTTGCTGTATTTTTCGGCGAACAACTTCTTCCTCTCCCCATGCTGGCAAGGTCGTAATAGTCAGCTCGAGCTGGACCAATTGTATCTCGAACGGCCAATTACGTACGGGACCTTTTCCGAGCGTGGAAAACATACATCTTGGGGGGTGATATGCCCGGCGTCAGTCTCTCACATGGTTGCGCAGCCAAAAAAAAAACTACTCACTGGGTCCTGTAGTTGTCGAACAGGCGGTAGAAAGGCGGCTTGTCGTATCCGCTGCCGTCCGTCACGTATATCTCCTTCACCGCATCCCAGGTAGCGAACGAAACCTCGTCCGGAGCGATGCGCACCACAGGCCCGTATTTCATATGCAATGCGTGGATCCATTCTCTTCGACGTCCGGTGAATTCGTAGTACATCAGCACGAGCCGTGTGGCAGCGGCGAGGTTCGGTCCGCGAAGCTTCCCCAGCGGAGAAAGGATGAGACGGTCATAGACAAACCACAAGCCAGTGAGGCATAGGAAGTAGAAAGTGAGCATGGTCGGCAGGCCTCCAGACCACGTCCTCGCGACAGTGGGTCGTCCGACTTGAAAAAGGCGAGTCGGAAGGCTTATCTTGACCTCAGAGCGAACGCCGCGCTTATCTCAACTTGAGCGAGTGCTTATCTCGACTCTTGACGCTTGCAACCTTCATCTGTCGTCTAATCTAACGCGCATACGCTATCACAAGGCAAGCGTGGGGGAAAGAAATGCAATAGATATAGACCTAAGTAAATCGCACAGATTATAGTACACATACACATCGTATAGAAACATTAGGCTGACTTCCCCGCGCTGACATTCGCAGGACAGCTCCTCGATACATCGGCGAATGGGGCCTGCGAGACTACATGTGTGCAACCGAGAAATCAAAAACGAGAGTCAAGAAATCGGCACCGGGGCCGTCATATACGTGTGCGTTCCATACACGAGGGGGTATTGTCCATACCGGCACTGCGACTGATCACCGCACCAGCACGATGAAGTTGAGTTTGAGATTTAGGACGACGTAGTAGACGCCACACCCGCGCTCGCCGGAGGGTCAATGCCCATCTTCTTGCGCACCAGCTCGAACGTCTTGAGCATCTTCCTCCTGGCCCCCAGGGCAGCGACGCCCTTCGCTTCGAGTGCTTCCTCGTCCATAGCCACCATGTCCTTCCACGACATTCCCTCGAAATTCGGCGTATACTTGTGCAGCCGCAAGCTGCGGAGCCACGCGGGCACATCATCAAGCACCTTCGGGTCCACCTCTTCCTCATCTTTCTTCGAGTCGCGCACGCTGGGGGACTTGCCCGGCGAGCGCACACTGCCCATGCGCCCACTGCGAACACTTGGGGACTGCTGCGCATGCAAGCCCATTCCAAATGGGCCCTGCAGGCCCGCTTGACCTAGTTGGCCTGCGGCAGCCATCTGCATCGCGAGCATCTGCTCAGCGGAGAGACCCATAGCGGCCAGGTTGGACATATTGAACATGTTGCCGAACGGGCTGAGAGGCATGCCCGCAAATGCAGCCATGCCGAGTCCTCCTGGGCCCGGAAGACCCATGCCTAAACCCGGGCTACCCATCCCCATACCGAATCCAGCCATACCCAAACCATTAAGGTTTGCTTCGTCGTTAAGCCTGCCTGAAGCGTTGAGCCCCGGGCTCGGATTATTGTTCCATCGACCTTGTCCTCCAATTCCATTGCCAGCCCCGCTGGCATTCCTTATACCACCAGAGACGTTACGGTGCCCATGCTGCTGATGATTACCCTGGCTACCGGTGCTGCCGTCGTCGTTGTCGTTGTTGTGTCCATTGCTCAACCCACTACTGCCTTTGGAAAGTCGGTTGAACTTTTTAGGGGGATCAGATATGAGAGGGACTCCTCCGCCGGTAGCGGTCCAGTCGTTCAACTTGGCAGCAGCAGCGTCGAGACTCTGCTGAGCGTTGCGGGTATCCTTAAACATCGGCATTAAGGGCGTATTGACCATACTCGCCCAGCTGTCGCCGACCATAGGAGACAGCGAATCATCCAATTTGGGCGATTTGAAAGCATTGGCGACGCCCGAGAAATCGGTACTCTTTGGCCTGGATGCAGCGCTATTAGGAGGAGGTAGATTGATATCCTGGCCAGGAGAAGATACGCTTTCTTCAACCTGGCCTAGCTGGTTTGATCCCGATCCCCACGTGCGGCTATCCACACTGGTGCCAAGCGCAGGAGCTGAGATGCGGTGAACAGCATTGCTCGCCTTCAATTTGGCACGCTGCTGAGCGAGAGTCGCAGCAGGGTCATGACCTCCAGCAGACACATTAGCAGCGTCCGGAGACAGGAATCCACTGATAGGGGAGTCGAGGCCCAGCGAAGGTCGATTACCCGAGAAGTTGCGAGCTGTAGGTGACGCCGGCAGGCCTTGTTTCAAGGCCGGCGATTTCAGACTCAAAGTCGCCAGCTTAGCCTCCATCTGACTCTGCATCGAGCCTAAAATTCCTCCTTTCAGCGCCTGATGCATCCCCAAAACTATTAACATACCTCCAACAGCGGGGCTGAGAAGCGCCGTCATAGGATCGGAGCGAGCCATTTGCTGCAGTACGGTGATAAAGAACCGAATTTGGACCTGGGTAGAATGTTGCAAAAGACTGTAGAGAGCGGCTGTGCGCTCTGCCTCTGAAAGTACTTTGAACCCTAGATATGCCGCGATCAATAACTGTTCGGACAGGAGTAGTGGTAAGGCCCCTTTACATTGTTCGATGGCGCTCAGTTCCTCCTTGAAATTTGCGTCTAAAGATGCAGCAGCCATCTCTTCCTGAAAATATTGTGAGTATACCTCCGTAGAAAGAGGAGAGTAAAAAACGAACCAGTGTTGCCTCATAGTTTTGGAAGGTTTCAAACCATTGATCGATAGCCTCAGCTGTGAAAGAACGTGTCAAAACAATACAAAGCGGTATGCGGAAATGCAGCCACCTTCTGGAGTCTGGAACATGCCAGCACTACCCAAAAGCTCGCTTGTAGGTCTTCCGGCACCCGACACCCCGCCCGGGCGAGGAGAGGCGGGCGGCAAACCCTGCGAGCCAACAGGACGCGCAGAGGGACCCATGGAGGCACGGAAATTGGGAGAACGAGTTCCCGCATTGCCCGTAGGACCCGGAGATGGGCTAGGGCTGGGGGGATGAAGAGTAGCCATGTTGGATGAAAGAGAAAGTAACGAAGCGACGTCGAGTCGGCGAGAGTGACTAGAATCAAGCAGCACGTTGCTAGGAGCGTGCGACGTTGCGTCTAGACAAGACCAGCGGAGCCTGCCGGTCTAGGAAATGACAAAGTCGAGCGCAAACGACTCGAAGACGACGAGGAGACCGGAAAGATGATGGACGAGATGAAGACATCGCTGGCCAGTCTCCTCGCAATCAAGCCCTGCCCGGCCACAATCAAATAGAGACAAACAGGCCATGCCACCCTGATCATCTTTGTCCTGCCACTGCGTCCATCACTCTGTCATCAACCGCTTTCCATCTCCGACACGGAGTAATTGCATGCACCTGTCAAAAGCATCTTTTTGGCGGACAACCAACTGCATACTCCTGTTCCCTCTCACGTTCATGTGTTATATTACTTTCAGCTTCATACAGTCCTTAGCTAAGAATCCTGCCAGGTCTCAATCCAATAATGGTCATATGCATCATGTCGTTGTCCGCGCCTTCGTCAGAGAACCTGTATCATCATATCAACTGTCATGTGGGGATGATGGTGGAGGTCTTAGACATCTGTCATCTCATCAGTACGAGGTCGAGAGCGAATGTACGCCAACTCCTGGCTTGAATACCTATTGGGACCGGATGCAATGAAAATCTCAATCGGAACCAGCTCAATTGACGAAGCAGCACCCACAATCTAGCTTGACCCTGGGGATTGGTATATAGTAGCTTCAACCGTATCGACGAGAATACATTGTTCAAAAATAGCACCTACCACTGCAGTGAGTCCACAGGTTGAGCATGTCAATGCAGCAAAGAGCCAATGCCGTCCGCATCAGGCTTCTCGTGATCATCGAGGCTATATAGGCGGAGAAATGAATACAGTTGAATTCTATACTTCTTACGTCTTTATCTTGCATCTGTCTCAAACACATCAGTCGTCAACAAGAAGGATTGAATCAAGCACCGAAAACCCAGCAGCGACGCCGCCTTCGTTGCTGTCTTTTCCCTTCGTCCGCACCAGCCAGCCCACCTCCTTCTCGCGCACTGCCCTGTCTGCCCCGCCAAACAGCGCCCACCCGAATATGCCCACCTCGCTCACCACGTCCGCCCTCACAGCGCCGTCCGTCCCGCCTCCCGCACGCACGAGGTAGCTCCCCATACCCTCCGGTACCGCGATGAGCTCCATTGCGATCCACGCCGCACGCTCCTCCACAGCCAAGCTGTCCAGAAACGGCGGGATCGCCTCTTTGTACACATTGTTCCCGCCTCCCTCACGCTGCGGCTTCAGCACCAGCGCACCCGCTCGCTCTCGCGCCCTCCGCACGCCCGAGCCCTCGCGCTGCACCGCGCCACCTGAACCGAGCGCGTCAACGTCCTCGTCAAGGCCCCACATCTCCATCCAGCTTGCTCGCAGCTCGTCCGCAGCGGCCTGCGGGAGTGCCTGCTCCCCCCAGCGCGCGACGTCACACAGGAAGCCCTCGAGCACGCCCGGGTGCGTGAGCACCTCTTGCACCTTCTTCCCCCCCGCGAGCTGCAGCGCGATCGACGGGCACTGGATCGCCCGCGAGCGCTCGAGCGCGTACCGCGTGTCGTATTGCGCCGCCGTCGGGTAGTCCGTGGGCGTGTACCCCGCGCGGAAGTACACGGTCGAGATTTCCACCGGCGGGCCTGACGAGGAGGCGACTCGCAGCACACGCGTGGTCGGGTCGACCTGTGCAGTCTGGCCGAGCTGCGTGAGACTCTGGCGCACGACGTGGATGGAGTGGCTGCGGGGGAGGGAGTGTTTAGGACAATTCGGGCGCATCGCGCACATGGCCGCTTACGTTTCCAGCAGCTCGTATTCGAGCCATCGCTGGTCAAACACGTTCCGCTCCCCATCTTGCACGACGAACAGAATGCAGGCGCTGCAATATGGATATAGTTCAGTGGCAGATACGGTCAATCCGCGGACGCAGACGGCTCACCCGGGCACGCCGTACGCCTTGTGGGCCTCTGAAAGTCCCTCCGCCAGACCCGCGGTCGTGCGATTGGGAGGAAAATTGTCCGCGGTAAGATATGGCGAGACGCCAAAGTACCCCGTTGATTTGCGAAGATATCTGTGTCGAGATATTCATCATCCGGGATGCACGAACCGCGCGCGATGCGAACGTACCTGTGCAGATCGGCAGACCGCTCTGAGAGGGTCCCGAAAGACGAGGAAATGGTGTTGAACTCGACCTGCTTCAGCGACGTCGGCTCGCCGTTCCCGGGCGAGTGTAGCATATAGTCAGATCTGAACAACCCCAGATGCAAGGGCTGCAATACTGAGACGGGAAGCGGCTCATCGCAGAAATGTGCACTTACCTGGACGATCCCTTCGTCGCGCACCTTTTGCCATCGCCTCCAGAGCTGGCCGGTGAACTCGTCGACCCTTCCTGCCCCTTCGACCGCACCCATGACCCGATCTAGGAAATCATCGTCCGTTGCAACTCGCGCATAGAGGACGTTATATGTGTTCTGAAGTCTTTGCGCGAGCTGGAAGAGACGGCGGGGAAATGGAGAAGGGAAGAGTGCGAGCGGGGCGTGGATGGTCGATATCGGCGCCGGGGGCTGCACTGTCTCGACTGGAAGGTAGACAAGACCATGTGATAGAGCGTAGGTCGTCGCTAATAATGTAATAGATGCAAGCTGAGCATCAGAGAGGGTTGGAGGCCAGCTGGACAACGGCGAGCCCTGCGCCGACATCGTAGTAGAGTACGAGGCTGATTAAGGCGCATAATCAATCGTAACAAACGATTGCGGCAATGGAATAGGAAATCTTCACTCATGAATCTTCAAAAGTTCATCAATTTCCATTGCATCTCAGGATGCAGTCAAGAGGGTAATTACGGGAAAAGAATGTAAGTCTACACAACATTATTTGTTCAGCAATGGTGAAGGAGAGGGGGGAAAGCACTATCATAGTGAATCCATCTTCGGATGAGCAGAAAAAGCAACGTATACTACACAATACATGAAGCTGAAAGGTAAAGCGAAGAAGTGGTAGGCGTACACGATGAAAGACATATGATAGGCATATAAGTAATGGAGTCATTTATGCAAAGCTTGCAGCGCGCCCTACGAGTGCACGTACTTCGCCTGATCTCCGCTTAACCTCGATGAACCACTCGAGGGCTTTCGTCGCCGTACGCGCGACGTCCTCCGCACCCTGGACCTCACGAGCTTTCTCCTCCATGGCCTTCCTATAGCGATCCTTAAGATCCCATGAAGCGAGGCGAAGAACTTTCCTGGTTTCCCGGCTGACTCTCTGAGCATGACCGTCAACAAATGCGAAATCTTCGCCCTTTTCTTCGCCCTCCCTAGCAAGAGATGCCTTGATGCGACGACCCACGGTCTTGGGAATGGTACTCGGAAGCTCGAGGATGAAGTACACCGACAGGCCAATCGTGACCGCTCCAATAACAGGAGCAGCCCACCTACGCGCTGATTCGTTCTCAAGCATGTCCCAAATACGCACCACACCTTCGAGGACACCGCGGGCACCAAGCGCTTTGCCGCCGACGACTGTCAGCGCGCCGAGCCCAACGGACGCCACGCCGAGTGCGGTGACAGCCTTCTCCTCATCAGCAACTTTATCGTCGCCGAAATGCACCCAGAACTGATGCTGCACATCAAAGAGATCGAAGAACGCAGTCTCGAGCATATCGTGCCGCTGAGCGAGGCCAATCCCCAGTCCGTGAAGACCACCCGCAACAACGGCGCCTCCTGCAGTGCTCCGCGACCTCTGTCGCGATGTTTTGTCGCTCCTACGAATGGAGAACATAGCCTCGGGCATGAAGACGCGACGAGGACGCTCGACGCCTTCTGGCAAGTGCTCGTCACCTAGCTGCGTAATTCGATTAACGGCGTTCGAGGTGGTGACACGAGCCTCATCCTCAGCCATCTTGACCGCGATATCGAGACTGGTAAGCAACGCTCTCCGGACTTCGCCGGCGTAGTCCCAGATGCCGAAGAACCCAGGATAAGACGGCAGCCTGACAGCGTCTTGTTCAACGCCGAGCTCGCCCCTCCCAACACGCTCAAGGGCGTCTGTGAGCAAGTCTTTCGTTCTAGTTCGGGTGGCGGTGGCACCGTCCTCTTCAACTGCCTCCAGATTTTCATCCAACGCTTCCCGTTCGTTCCTCATCTTCTCCCACACAGGCCGCGACTTGCTGAGGTCCTCCTTAGCACGCTCCAGTTCTTTGTCAGCCAAGATAGCATTTGTTCCGACAAGCAGATCGACGTCCGAAAGGATGTGGTATAAGTATGTCGAGGCAGGCATAAACTTCGACTTGGAACGTTTGACGAGAACGAATGAGCGTAAAGATGATTCGAGGTCGGCGAACGCAGGCGTGCCATTCTCGATAGCAGCTGCAGAATCAACAAAGTGCACGAGATCCTCCGCATCCTTAAATGTAGCCGGGCTGAGCTGCTTTATCTGCTCTAGCACAAGTCGCCTGCACTTTGCCTTGTCGCGGATTTGCTCGTACTTGTTGACAACGATGAAAATATATGCCTTCTCCTTGCTCGCTGTCGTTAAGAACTCCTTTGCCGAAAGCGTGAAATGGTTCTCGGCTGACACCACAAACACGACCACGTCGATCTCCTCTTGCCGAGCAAACACTGCGGTCGTGTTCACAAGATCCCGATTGAGACCCGGGGCGTCGATGAGCGAAATGTCCACAACGCCGTTACTGAGTAGCGAACTCGATGGATCCCGAGTGTCCGATAAGTAAACTTTGAGGATCTGTTGTTCGTCTTCATTCTCCGAGACGATCGACTCTAGATCCGAGAGGTTAGCACGGGTGAATGTCGACTCATCATCCATGGCGTATGGCACGCCTTCCTTGAGTATATGCACCTCTTCCTTTCCACCATTCTCCGCCACTGCATCATGCACCTCGCAAAACGCCGTCGTGCAAGGTTGCTGATCGATGGGCATGACCTCCCGACGGAGCAGTGCATTGACGAACGTCGACTTGCCTGCGTTCAGGTCGCCTGTGACAAGGACCTTCGACGACGTGTCCTCCACTCGCGTACGCAGCTTATCCATGTGGTTCACCGCAGAGCTAATGCGCTCGTCGAGGAGGTTTGCGATAGATGACTTCTCCAGCTGCGACACAAGAGACGCCGGCGAGTTTGATGAACCATGGGCGCCGAGCTTAAGGTCTAAGCGAAGCAAGTGGAACTCGGCAACATCGGAGGCATCAATGAGTCGCTGTGCGTCGTCTTCGACCTCAGGCGTTTCGGGCTCGTCACTCGCGTCCTGAATTGACGCCAAAGTGACGGAGCGGGCCATGCCCTCTCTAGCAGGGTTGACAACAACTTCCGCCTGGAAAGTGGGATCATCGGGGAACGAGAGCGAGCGACGCATACCCTTCGGCTTCCTAGGCTTAGAGGGTTCCGCCTCCTCTGGCTGCTCTTGCAGCTGAGGATAGCGGACGACCCATGACTCCTTGTTGAATTTGCGGAGGTCACCGAGGATTATTTTGGCGGTATCGATGGCATTGAGGAGCCTGCGCTTACTGCTCAGCTTCAAGCTCTCTTGAATCTAGATGCTTACTTACCGGTCCTTGTGTTCAATGTATGCCTCCTGCACGTCCTCTGGGGCGCGGGCCTGCGCCACGGCTTCCGCTGCGTTGCTAGCCTTCAGGGGGCGATGCATGCGGTTTGGAAAGTAAGACGCAACCATGATGTTTGCGTACTTCCGAGGAAGTGGGAGAGCGGCCTCTCCTTTCGGTCGTCGTGGTCGTTAGAGTTGATGATGAGAGGTGGTGAGAATGAGTGGTGAGCACATTCGCGACTTCGGAGCATCACGGGGTGAGAGTTTTGGCTGATTACTTATCGTAACTAAGGCTGGTTAATCTTGAGTAAGTATTAATGACATGATTCTGGGCAGTTATGCAAGATAATCCATATTAATATTCTTTTTGGGACCAGTTTCTTCTTCTCAGCTCGATAGCTACTCGCTCGTCTGGCCGTTCTGTTCTTCTCTGTTCTCAGTGAGTCTTTTTCCAATGTGGTGTCATTGGAACTCTTGGGTCATGTTCAACACCAACTGAACTTATAAGTCTTTCAAGAGCTGTTGCTGATATGATCAGAACACTGAAGGTGTTGGTTTCGGACTCACTAGTGCTGCTGTATTCGCTCTGCTCTTTCCTTTCTGTCTTCCCCTGAGCATTCGGCAGCCTCTTTGTTGATTCTAGTGGAAAACAAATATTTCACACACGCCAAGATTTAATTATCAATCCGTCAAGACAATCGCGGGACCAAGGATCTCGAACAGTACATCTGCAGAACACAATCGATTTCCAGACACTTGCCAAGTGTTGGTGCCTCGGGACTCGATTTTATGGCTGCATGGCTGATCTTGTCGAGGCTAGACTGCGATATCAGGCCCATGCAAGCCCACTCTGAAGCCACCTCTTACGGAAGCGTCAACTTATCCGGCACGATCCAAGCATCCGAGTCAGCTAGGGTCTTATGGCTTCGGGATTGTGCAACGTCTGGGACTTTTGACGCGATCGTGAAGCTGTCTCAAAACTGTCACTGCGCAGCATTTGCTATCGTGGTTCCTTAATGCTTTTGAAGCGCATCAATCCTGCGGAATGGTACGCAAGAATTCTACAGGTTCTTCCGACTGAACTCCTAACTGATCGCGGTACGCCCAATTCCCGCTGAACGGCGCAGGGTACTTTGTCGCTAAGTGAGCCTAGCTGATAGTCCCCGTCCAGTGTACTACGTGCGCTGACTGGCTCGTACTTGCAATTGCCAGCGGTTTGCACTAATACAGAGCTCTAGTTAACCCTGACTTAGGAGTACACATAAATAACACCTTCAATGCAAATTACTTTTCCCGTTCTATTTTCGTTTGAATGATCGGCATTCGGCTGGGGCGAGCGTCTCTTTGTTCTCGATCTCGCGCAGTGTAGCGAGGACGCCGGACGCAACAGGGCGCGTATCCCATTGCTTTCCTTCCACCACCACTGCCTCAACATTCCCATTCTTTCGGTCTCTGAACTCGGAGCCGCCCTAGATTACTGGCCAGACCTCTAGCGGTGCTAGTCCGGCCTTGATACCTGTCAGCGCGACATACGTTCTGGTTACTTTGATTCTTGTCGGAACGGGAGTTGCCTGTTAGGCCTTCACTGACGTCTCTGCCAGACGTCACGATCTTTCTACCGCTATAAAGCGGCGCTTTCTCTGCACTCGTTTTTCGATCTCACTCGCTCAAATGGTCCGACCTATCCTACTCTCCTCCGTTGCATTGCTCGCGCCAGCGGTTGTACATGCGCAGTACAGCCAAGTAAAGGAATATCTGGGGTCATCTTTCTTCGACGACTGGAATTTCTATAACAACTGTGAGCTGCGCTCCATTTTGAACGTACTCGCGCTGAGCCCTTCACGCTGTACAGACGATAATCTCACCAGCGGCAATGTCTTGTGAGTCATTACCTCCCTGATTACAATCAACGCTGAATATTTTATGTGTCCAGCTATGTCAGTTCCTCGACTGCAGGAAAGGATCAGCTCGCATACATCAACGATGCGGGGAATGCGATTATGAGGGTGGACAATACTACAAAAGTCGCGGTAGGCGGTAACCGCAACAGTGTACGGATCTCAACAAAAGATCATTTCACTGTGGGGAGCTTGTGGATTACAGACATGGTCCATGTGCCATATGGGGTATGGTCTCGAACCCACGAGTTTGGCGGTTTGGTAACGTTGGCTTCTTGTAGTGTTCTGTATGGCCCGCGTTCTGGTCGTCGGCAGTAGATTGGCCAAGTGGTGGAGAGGTATGCTTATGCTAGTATCAAAGTTGTCTGTCTTGACGCTGTCGACAGATTGACACGTTCGAGGGCGTGAACCAAGTCACAATGAACCAAATGGCGCTCCATACCGCTAATGTGCGTTTACACCGTTTTTTCGTCCTCAAACACCCTCTGATTCAAAGCCGCGTTTCCAGGGATGTACGCACTCCCCCAACGCGGTCCAGACAAGCACGCTAGTCAATTCGACAGACTGTTCAACGGCAGCAAACGGCAACCAGGGCTGTGTGGTCACGACGCCAACCACCAGCTCATATGGCGCAGGTGCGGCTGTCCGATATGTCCAGACGCAGAGGGATTGGCTTGGCTGATAGTGCCTTGGTTCTGGTCCTGCAGGGTTCGCCGCCGATGGCGGAGGAATGTTCGTGACGGAGTTCGCATCTTCTGGCATCTCGTGAGTGTCAATGCCGCGCCCGCGCCCGTCCACTGTCACAAGTCTGCTGACGATCGCACGAATGACAGAATATGGTTCTTTAACGCAAGTGTTCCTGCAGACTCCCCCCGATTGGCTTGCGGTGTCTAATATTACGTCCACATCCAGCGCTCGTCCATCCCATCCGTCCTCCAGGGCAATGCCAGCTCCGTTGATACATCGAGCCTTGGCACGCCAACCGCGAACTGGCCATCAAGCAATTGTACCATAGCGGAATTTTTCCAGCCCCAGGCGCTTGTGTTTGACATTACGCTCTGTGGAGGTAATGAGCAAATCATGCAATTAGTACTAGGTCCAAGCTGACGCTTCCATTAGAATTTGCTGGAAACGGCAACGTCTTCTCAGAGACATGCACCGGCGTTTGCTACGATGACTGGGTTATCGGGTCTCCATCGAATTATGATAATGCGTACTTCGAGGTTCAGTATGTCCGGGTATACGGCCAATCGGGAGAGCTCACGGTGATCTCGGGCGCTCCACGATCTCTGGGGGCGCGCACCGGTTTACTTTTGCTCGTTGCGACTGCTGTTGGCATACTGTTTGCGCTTTAATGTTGGCTCTTGGAAGGGGCTTCCATCTGACTATGAAACTCATCATACCTACAGGACGGCATATCTCACACGACTCGTTGCTGTATATACCTATAGACACTTGCACTGGATACAAACGTAATAGTGGACACTAGACTGGTTGTCGATAGTCCCGTCTGTCTTGGGCAGCGGTAAGTAATCTACTTCTGTATATGCTGTAACAACTTATCACCGAGCGAGTATACGACATCTGAGACAAAGTCGAGATACTTGCAGCGACGCTAGGACACTCACCAGTACTCACCAGTACGCCATTGACCAGCCACCGTATCTGGGCGTCTACTGACAGATCTGACATAGTTAACCCCGATCACTTTCCGAGTTTGATGACGGACTGAAACTGAAGCTTGAAGCTATTTCACTCCACAGCTTTCATAAACTTGAATACTCCAGGATACCAAACCTAGAAGATTACATACTAGTGAGATCGTACTCCCTCTCGCTGATGTCATTGAATATGGTGGGCTGCTTTCGACGTACGATTTATCTTCAAAGAAAGGGGTTGATACAAATCGATGTACTCCTAACTCGTAGGTGAGTGGCTGATTAATCTGATTATGTGGGGCACGAAATATCGCCGACCTCGGTTGGTGCTCGGTCAGCAGGATGGTCTGAATAATATGCAAGCGGATGATGCCTTCCATACTCTTATATCACACCAGTTTTAAAGCAACAGCAAAAAAGTTGAGCTCTAGGACAGAACCAACTCCTATCGCACCACCATGACATCTCAGGTTAATGCTTCGATTACCGATACGGCCGCCCTTTTTGATGTTAAGGGCTTGGTGGCTGTTGTGACTGGAGGCGCGACAGGTATATACTTTCGCATATGCCCATGCAGATAGGATGATAACATTGATGGGCAGGCATTGGGTTGATGATGGCTACCACGCTTGAATGCAAGGGCGCCATCGTCTACATTGTGGGTAGAAGGAAGGAGGCACTGGACAAGGCCGTCAGGGAGCGCAGCGTGCGTGCTTGCACGAAATTCATCCTTATAATTTATTTTGATCTTCTTTCTATGGTGGTGCTGAATCCAGCGACATGGGAATTTAATCGCTCTGCAGGGGGACATCACCGACCGCGACGCTTTGCGCGCGCTCGCGGCAGAGATCAAGTCGCGTCACGGGTATATCAACCTGCTCGTCAACAACGCAGGGGTGATACTTGGACCGCAGCCGAAACTCCCCACTCCCGCAGAAGTAGACATCACCGCATACCAGGAACTCCTGTGGAATGCGGAGAATTTTGACACATTCGGGCAGACATTCCGCGTCAATGTCTCCGCGGCGTGGTTCTGCACCGTCGCGTTCCTTGAGCTGTTGCATGCGGGCAACATGTCGGAGTGGACCCGTGCGACAGGCACGACAAGTCAGGTACTCACTACCTCCAGCATTGGCGGATTCCGGAGAGACTCCGCCGTTTTCAGCATATCGTACACACTCAGCAAAGGGGCTGCAACACAGTTGGGCAGGATGATAGGGCATTATTTGAAGGATTGGAAGATCCGAAGCAATGTCATCGCTCCTGGGATATTCCCGTCCGGTATGTGTATATAACCCGACAATAACGTGCATTGACAACGATTCCATTTAGAAATGGCGGACGGTATGATCTCTGACACATTGATAAAATCTACGGTACCTGCGCAGAGAGTGGGGGGTATAGACGACATGGGTGGCTTATTACTGTTTCTAGCGAGCAGGGTGAGTAGTGAGTTCTATTTTACGCAATTCACAGTTATTGATCGGCCAGTAGGCGGGTGCCTATGTGGACGGAGGCATTCATGTCATCGACGGGGGAAGGCTTATCAATCTTCCTGCTCTCTGGTAATATATGCGCCAAGTACTCTTGCTCTATGGGGCGTGAAGCGCGTAGTACGCCTCATGTGCCATCTAGAGACCAAGGCCATGTGTCACAAGTACGAAATCTGAAGGATAAACAGGCTCGTGTGTAATCACTCCGTAGTTCATCGTACAATACAACTAGAACGGAGTCCTGGGCATTCGCTTGGAGCAGATCCAAGGTTGATTGTTCTGCAAGGGTGCTGCCGCTTGGATGTGTTTTCGCTCAGTTTTGGATGTTGTTTTGGACGAGTCCGAGATGCCCGAAAATGCGGCAAGAGCCGAAAACAAGATCTGACGTGGCTGATCAAAGCTGAACGCAGTTTCCGGCGCTGCGAAAACGCGTTTAAAACAGCCTTCAAAACTCTACTCTGAATGTCCTTATTATTGGTTTCGAGTGTTAAACAGGGCCGCAATAGTGGCAACGCTCGCCGCGTCCGGCCTGCGGTTGATCGCTTCAGAGCTCCCGTCTTCATACATCAGTAGTGAGATGGCCACAGAGAAATCAAATACCAATATAGAATAACAGTGAGCATGAAGCATACAGTGCCTCATACTCGTGATTTAAAACCGTTATGATAGGATGGCTTTTACTCACGCCTGTGCTATCTATCACAGTAGCAGAGTGATCGCACCTGGATACAGTCCCATTTCTGTATGACTGCTGGAGTAGCAAGTGGGAGGAGAAAATGACAGTAACACGCAATACTGTGATCATATAAGCATGATCGCAGATGGATCCATCCGCAAAACGCCAAAGTCTGAAGATCTGAAATTTCATCTGGAGGTCTGATTCGTCTGAGACACGTCTGAGATTTTTCTGATGCTGCTTTACTATAGAAGATAACTGCCATGTCTCGTCTGGATTTACTTTGATCCTTGAGCAGACACCGTCATGTCTCCTCTGCAGGACCTCGGGGCTACTCTCGCTATTGTTACTTTCGTGCTTGTCCTCGTCGCATACATCCAGCATTTGGCGAGAAGGGGGGTCTATCGACTTCCTCCAGGCCCAAAGGGTCTTCCGATCTTGGGAAACATCCATCAACTTCCTGCGAAATATCAACATGAAACCTTTACAAAGTGGGCCGCAGAATACGGTGAGGGCTATCAGTCTGGTGATGATCTACCTTCTGAGCGGAATGTTTACCCATAGGTGATGTATTCTACATCCAAATCTGCCACAAACCCGCCATAGTGGTCAACACTTTGCAAGCGGCTCATGACCTCATGGAGAAAAGAAGCTCGCTGTATTCTGATCGGCCGAAAAGCGTTGTGTTCACCGAATTGCAAGTACATTTTCCTCCTTCTTGCACTAATGGATTGATCTATGATTCCGTGGCAGAATGGGCTTTGAGTTTGAAACATCGATCCTGCCTTATGGCAAACAGTGGCGCTTGCATCGCAAGTGGTTCCAGACTGCATTCCAGACAAAAACCGCACAGTTGAGGCATCGGCCCCTTCAGCTCAGGGCAGTCCGCCAGTTGCTATCGGCGCTGCTAGACTCACCCGCCGATTTTCGGAATAATATCCAAAGGTCAGCTCAGTGCGCAATACCCATCACCTATTAATTCTGGCTCAGATTCGCGGGTGCCATGATGCTAGAAATTGCTTATGGACACACTGCAACTTCCGCTGACGACGACTTCATCGGTTGGGTAGGCGATACTATTGCTCGCGTATTGGAGTCTGGGGGTGGAGGCGCTACTGTCATTGACTTATTTCCCATCTGTGAGCGTGATTATGACTTGTACACGGGAGGCGCGCCCTCAAAAATTGTATCCTTTCACGAAGTGAAGCACGTACCCGACTGGATGCCTGGCGCTGGTTCCAAAAGGAGGGCAGCAGCCATGCGGCCAGCTGTGAGAGAATTCCATGATCTTCCGTATAACAGGGTCAAGGCTGCTTTGGTAGGATCCGCATGACTGAATAATTTACGAATTGTGTTGCTGATACCGGCTTTAGGATGCGGGGTGCGCGAAGACGTCGTTTCTCTCGTCTCTTATCGAGAGAGCCTCGGCAAACAGTGCTCTCACTGAAGAAGATGAGTTCAACTTGAAGGGAGCTGCAGGAATGGTGTATATAGGTGAACATCCTACGTTTACTCAACAAATTCTTCAAAAAGTAACGAACTTCGTCAGCCGGCGTTGAGACGGTAGTGTATCATGCTTGCTCGAGGAGTCTCAACTTATTGTAACACATAGACGGTGACTGTTCTCCTGACTTTCATCATAGCTATGGTCTTGCATCCAGAAGTGTATAAAAAAGCGCAGGCTGAGATCGACCGAGTAGTGGGTCATTCTCGACTTCCCAACCACGAAGACCTCCCGTCAACACCCTATTTGAGCTGTGTATTAAAAGAGGTGTATCGGTACGTCATCTAGCTCAAAAACAGCGTGCCTCCTGACCTCCCAACTACAGGTGGAGATGTCCTTTGCCTCTTGGTGCGTGATTGCTATGGTACTGTCGTTTTACGGGGAATTAACATATGCCTTAAGCGGTACCTCATCAGGTTATAAAGGACGATGAATACCTCGGTTATCATATTCCTGCAGGTTCCATGATTATCCCAAATGTCTGGTGAGTATTCTTCCTATTGTCCCAAAGGTCCGCTCTGACAACCATCGAGGGCAATGACGAGGAACCCTGATTTATATCCTGATCCAGACAACTTTATGCCAGAACGATTCGAAAACCTGGATGCTGAAACTGCATCTCGATTGGACCCAACCAAGCTTGTCTTCGGCTTTGGTCGACGGTAATGGGTCCACCTTTGCCAAATGCATCTGCTTATCGTTTTGTGCGTAGAATCTGCTCCGGACGCTCCTTCGCAAACTCGAATATGCTGCTACTCATTGCCAATATTTTGGCCACGATGAATATTCGTAAGGCCCGCGACGAAGCGGGCAAAGAAATCACACCTGACTCAGTCTTCATGGATGGTGGTGTCTGGTGGGCTGCGACGTATTGACGCATAGTTTGGTATGCTGATCAGGGTATGTGACCAGCCATCCTAAGCCATTCAAGTGCGATATCCAGCCGCGATCGCAGAGGGCAGTGGAGATGATTGCGCTCGCCAATGTTGAGAGCTCCTATTAAATCCCTCACGCAGAGTTGGAGAGACGTCCGAAAGTATAGTGTATCTATGTGTTGCATAGATACATCCAATGTGAGTCCGCAGCAGACGCCTACCGTTTGTTTTCGCTGTCAACAACTTGAAAGGATAATTGAATTAGACGCCTGACGGATCTTTTCCTTCTTTTTTTTCTTCAGAACTCTGCGAGATACAGAGAGTAGGCAAGGCAAAGCTACAGCTCGACGACAATTTGAACTTGCCGACATGCGTCCTAGTGGTACTGTCATTTCAGTGGAATTATACCTATTAGTATTTGCACCATAAGATCTGACGGCATGACGTGCAACAATGCTTTATTTCGTGCCAGCGCTGTTCGTTCGTGCCATAATGTCTCTTGATTTATCCAGTGAGTGTTAGCTCCGCATCTGTGCCTCTGATTGCATACTGCAGGCGCGTTGAACGCTTTGCATACTCCCTTGTGCGCATGGCCTCGGAGTCGCACGAGCTACTGAAGGCCATGCCGCTGGGGAGTCGCAGATTTGGTCAGACGAGGGGCGGACTGATAGAGCGATCGATCAGGCGACGGATGGCGCTTTGCCGCAGCCGGCATGAGGTCGTGATTCACTCCTGCTGTCTGTCCAGATGGAATATAAAAAATGATGGCGTAGCTTCGTGTGCACGTCGCTTATGGTACAACCTTCGCCTGAGCCTAATTCAACCTGAGCGCTTTGGGTTTAGTTTCGTGATGCCACTAGATGTATGAGAAAGCGGTGGGTATCATTAAGCTCGCCAATGCCGAAGGCTCGTCATGACACCACTGCTGAATATTACGGGTTTCCAGTTTAACGAAACGCTCCCCTTTCCCTCAGGCTTAAATCAACGAATCAAGCTAAGCAAGACCGGGCTCAGCATGCTACGTGGTTACCTGCGATAAACAACTACATGCTACATCGATTCTTGTGTCGGTTATTCGACGTCTCATTAGATTGGGGGCGAGCATTCTGTAGAGCATGGCTTGCACTAACTCGCTGTCATTGGTGCCACTCATAGACAGCAAAGCTCTCCCAGTCTCAACGAAGGGTTTCGCGCAAATGAACAAGTTTGTCGATATTACATTGTGCAATTCGAGGTGTAACAGGTTCATATTAGTGAGAGGGGCTCAAGTCCCAAAGCTGCAGTGCGAATGAGTAAACCTTGAATAATAGATTGATCGAGACAAACAATAGTACGACAATGGCCAAGAAAAAGAAGACAGATGGGGCCCCTGAATTTGAAGAGAGAGAAGCAGACCAAATCAGGTCGCATTCGCATCCTCCAGGAGCCGCACTTTCAGGGGCAACTGCGGCTTATTGCTCACTTTACCTACAGTGGGGTAGCGAACGGCCGCAGTATTCCACTCGATAGGCTTGTCCGTCAACTCGAAGGTGAAGTTAGACAGGAGAACCGCCAAGACGACCTCTGTTGGGACAATGAGATTTAGGCTGGCATCACTATACGCGATAGAATGTCCCACTCACTCATCTCCATCTCCGAGAATTTGAAGCCGCTGGTGGAACGATATTAGTCGGGTACCGTAGATCAGCGTTGCAGATGCAATGACTTACATACAAGCCCTCTTTCCGCCGGCGAACGTCATCCTGCGAATCATTCAGCCAATATTCATACAAAAGAGATAATATGATATCCGCCTACAAATTAGCATAGACGCCAGGAATGGTATTCTTGGTCACCATCTTTGGGAGGGTAGACAGCCACCGCTCGGGTTTCCACTCACGGGCATCTTCGCCCCAAAGCTCTTTGCTTGCGTTGCAGCCAAGGACTCCGATAATGACCTCTGTGCCTTTGACAATGGGAATTTCGCCGATCATCTTACCGCCGTTTCCTACGATAGGTTCGGACAGCGGGACAATGGTGTCCTTATTGGCACTAAAAGGCGGGGACGCGCTGTTGAGCACATTTTCGACGTGACACGACGTCATGAACGACTTACGTACGGGTAATGAATTCTGCAGGAGGATAGCTAGGCTGCAAGTTAGTCAACAATTGGACAAGGAAGGTGAGGAGCATACAGCCGAAGCGTTTCTCGACATATAGCATCAAGGAGTGGCAACTGATCAAGGCTGTCGTACGATATATCTTCCCCAGCATTCGCCTCCATGATTTCCGCACGCGCCTTATCCTGCACATCGGAATGTTCTGCCAGATTCTGCAGGATACGCGCCAATGTATTCGATGTAGTATCCGTTGCCGCGAAGACCAACATCCTGTGAATGAAAGTGAATACCAGCCAGTAATCAGACTGACATGATACGCACGACATCTGCGCGACGAGCTCATCTTCGGGTAGTCGGTCATCTCCGGAAGTGATCGTATTTGCCCTCACTATGATCGTGAGTTCAGCGAATAATGTCTTATCAAGAAGGTAGAGACGCACTTAGAATACTCATGATGTCTTTGCCTGAGCCTACCTGCTGCAGAATAGCTTCGTTTCCTTTGAGGAGAGCGGCTTTCTTCTTCGCAAATATTTCCCTCGATCGAGAATTCATCGTATCCACAATATACTTTACCCTTTGGACATCTTGGTGAGGTATAAGGTTAACAATGAAACGCCGGAACGCAGCCGGACCAATTTTGATAAGATACGGAAGCATAAGCCGCGCTATGGCCAAGTTGGCTAAATTTGGGCTACATGAACATCATTTTTCACCGATGAATAGTGTGGACACATTTGAGCACAGACATTGCTTACAACAAAACTTTTAACGCATGACCGTCTTCGTTGTGTGCTTCTTCAGTAAGCGGATCGAATGAGTAACCGAGACCACCTTGTCCGATTAGTTCAAGAGCTGTACGGCCCATCCAGCTTAACATGTCGATTTCTTCGGCACCATTTTTTATTTGATTCTTAACACCATCACGAAGCTGTTGGGTGTAAGGCATGTTTCGAGCTACAAAGAAAAGCGAATCACTTTATGCACGACGTGGTAAAAAATTGGGATAATGTGACGCATATGAGCGACCGAGAATGCGGGATTGAGGAGCTTGCGCTGCTTTCTGTGTTTGTCGCCTAGTAGAGATTCAGTAATCATCGTTGCATCCACAGCATGCGACTCTGACCTAAGGTCGATAATAGTCCCCGGCCGAACAACAAATCGTTGAGCCTAACAAAATTAGTTTCAGGGTATCGTTCGTAGCATGTTCAATGTGGTGCAGACTGACGAAATAAACCAATTAGCTTCCTGAAATATCGGCTCCTCCTTAATCATGATCGTGTGTAACGCTTTAGGATCAGAAACGTAAAGCATCGACCGCTGGAGGTCATATTCATATAAGCACGAGCGAAATGGACTACAATCCAGGGAGTTAGACTTACTCCGAACATGCCATTCAATCTTACGACAGGGCCAAAGTCAAAAGCCACGTGCCGCTGAAAATTGGTACCGTATCGGGAGAAGAATTGAGTAACATTGCCTGGGATTCGTATTAGCTGACTTGACGGGTTGGCAATGTGGCGACTCGAAGAATTACCTTTCAGAAAGGACTCGGAGGGGGGACCAGGAATATGCCGTAGGGCAGACCTGCCCTTGTGCACGTCCATGTAGTGCCACGTTAATGCAGCAGCACCAAAGATGAGAACGGAGCACCACCACTCAATGAGAGCCATGAGGGCGAGTTTTCTCTATCTCAATTGTCTAGCGTTTCAGCAAAATGCAACAGGAAGGAATGTCTGTTGTGTCTGGAGAAGTACAGGACCTGGCCTTGTCAAAGTTTACCTTTATATGAACCAGCTCCCAGCAGTAGATCTACTGAACTAAAATCGTGCGCGTAACACATATGAGTCCTCGGGCCGAATCTTTGAAGTGGAAGATCAGCGCACAGTAAGCACATACATTATTACTCACCTGCCATGAGGCCCACCACTATCCTGCTATTCAATATTCAGCGTTTACCATCACGGCTGTCATTACCATTACCGACATGGACAGCGTCTAATTGGAAGCTGATATAGACAAATCACAATAAAAGTAGACTCAAAAGCATAATTCAAAGCGGAAGCGAACAAAGACTCTCGCCTTATAGTACGTGTCTTTACAATGTTGCATTATGCGTGACTTGGGTTAACTCCGACCCCTGGTGATTTAGTCAGAGCATCAGAATTATAGATAATCGGAGATTCACACAATGGTAAGGAGCATGTAGTCATCTAGGAGATATTTGATGTCGACTATTGAAATCAATGCGCAGGAGACAAATTCCACAAATTGTTACCTACTGCAGCCCCATCATGGGAGAGGGGGAGGGTGGCTTCGTGCGGCTGTGAAGGGTGTATGCTTACTAGAAACGAAGACGATGTCTCTCGAATTCTCAGTGAAAATGAACAGCCTCCAAGTATCACAACTCACCACAAGCTCCCGCACTCTTGCAAGGCTGGTCAACTCCCGTACGCTACGACAACCACAGGTAGCACAAACCGGTGCGGCTTTGACACGCTCTGTTACGGACATGTAGCATTCAAAAATTGAAGAGCATAATGACACAGCGTAGTACTCGACCTCATGGAATGTATCGGTGGACGCGCGAACGCTAATGTAGGTCCAAGCCAGCACCGATTCGTTGTCTGCATGAGCTTCCGGACCTTCAGTATTTAAATGAGCATTTTGCAGGTTGAATGTATGAAAATCGGCCAAGAGACGATCCTAGGCAGGATGCAGTGGCTGATGCCATGGACCGCAGTATTGCATCAGTGGACTCCCCGCTGCGGATGATTTTGGACAACAATCGAGTGCCTATTTAGCCGACTAGATATACGCGCCGCTCGCGCGTGTCCGGAACACTCGTATGGTGTCGCCGTGGCTGCTGTTGTACTGACGGCGAACAAGCCAGCACAGAATAAGTGCAAGAATGCAGGAATGCACATACATTGCGTAGAAGAGTCAGGGCTAATGGTGAATCCGTAGTATAGACTAGTCGCCATCGTCAGGTCCTATGGGTCGCCTCACGCAATCATTGACCTGTGCTCTGGGATAATCGGTATGTGTTTTTGACGTCTGCTCATGTATCGACAAACGATGACTTGGCTGGCATCAGGTGAGACGCGACAAGCCACGAGCACCTAGCACCACGGAGAAACAAATCAACGGCTCTTACCTGACAATCAGATTCACAGCGATCGGAGTCTAGGAGATGAGTGCAGAGCGATACAGTTGCAATGAAGACACGCGGGTGGACATATGTAGCAAGACGAGGCTGAACATGTCCTGTGGCGCTCTGATATACGTACAGCCGAACAGGAGAGAACAGGAAATCTAACAGGCTTGAGAGATTGAATAACAGACGTGAGTTAAGAGAAGTGTGATTGTCAGTACCTACGTGCAGTAATCGAACTTAAACACACCGAGAGGGGCTATAGTAGGCGTTCATCCTAGGTCCTACAAATGATATCTGTTGTGGTAACCCGGTATTAGCAGCCTCTATATACTTGTGAGTCGTTGGGATACTGACTCGTAGGCGACAGTAGGTCTCCAGTGGGCAGCGTGAGCTCGAAGTCTCTAACGAGTGACATACTTGATTGACATTCGGAAATTGGACCGGCTCTGCGAAAACCGCTTTTGGTGGCGTTCGCCCTCACCATGAGGAAACTACGCAAACACCATAACCAAAATGCTAAATGAGAAAAATCCGTGAATTCAACCTCTCGTTGCAGCTGAAAGCAAGATAGCAAAACGTACATTTATCAAGCTGTCCTTCTACTCGCGAAGCAAAAATTCTCCAGGCCGATAAATGTCCAAGTCACGCTTGAAGTTCGTGCCACTACTCAGTCACTCAGGCTCTAGCGTAGAAACCGAAATGACAGCAATAGTGAACTCCCAGTATCATAATCTTCCCGCCAGTCTTGCCTTGAAACTCATGACCCAAACGCGCGACGGTGGTCTGAGTAACGAGCGCTTGAGCGCTGGACGACGTGTGAGACCGTTTAAGGCGAGTCTACATTTTGATGTGATAGGCCTTGGGCGGCGATCGCAAAGTCTGGCGCTCACGCGTCAAGTCATGGCGATGTCACAATTATTGGCTCAGGCGATGGTAAACATCCGGTATTCCACGAACATCAGCAAAGAACAAAATGCGGTACAATTATAATATAATCCAATATGGTGCGTTATCTGGGTAGATAAGCTCAGGTTTGAGCCAAGTTGGAGTTCACCGGAGACCACCGTCTGCATATCTGTGCTGACAAACACACACCGGGATTATAATAGGTTGACCAGTGCCACCTTGACAGATATTGTTTCGCGCGTTTTAGTGATGAAAGCATTGCGTACGTACTTATCGATTATTGGCCGAATTCAGATGCAAATCGTTACAAGCAGGGAGGAGTCCCGCTCAAGATACCACATCGAGCATCGAGAGCCTGACTACTAATTGCCGCTATCAAGAGTGCAGGTATACTTCGTAGAGAGCTTGCAGACAAACGGTGCTACCACTTCAAGCCTCAGGCCTTCGCGCCAGTAAAGATTCCCACCTTGAGCGGCATCTGTGGGACCTTTCCTTCCTTGTCTACGGAAGGGTAGCTGATCCCGGCAGCAACCCATTGGATGGGCTTGTCCGACAGGCTGAACGTGAAACTAGTCAGCAAACCAGATAGCACCACCTCTGCGTGGGGTGTCAGTTTTGACTGTGTCAGAAATATGGCTCGTAACGCACTCATCTCCATCTCGGAGAACTTGAATCCACTGAGGAACAACAAGTGAGAACAGGTCGATGCTGCGGTCACTAATGTAAAGGCTTACATGCAAGCTCTCTTGCCACCTATGAAAGTCATCCTGCAGGTGACGTCTATCAAAGTCTTGCACACCAAGACGACTGTTCTACGTACAAGTTGGAGTAGACACCGGGAACGGTAGTCTTTGTGACGGTATCAGGCAACGGGGAGAGCCAGCGCTCAGGCTTCCATTCGTCAGCATCCTCACCCCATATTGCTTTTCTAGTGTTACAGCCCAAGATTCCGATCATGACCGTGGTCCCCTTTGAAATGGAAATCTCCTGGATAAGTCTTCCATCAATCCCAACGACCGGCTCATGCAGCGGTAGCACAGTATCCTGACGTGCACTTCGCACGATCGCCCAAGATCAGTCAAGGCAAGTCAGTGATGATTAAGAAAAGTACTCACTTACGGATCAATGCTCGGACCGGAGGATACCTTTGAAAATCGAGAATGGTGACAATAAAGAGCGACGACATAACTCACAATCGCAGCGTTTCCCGGCAAACGCTATCAAGGAGAGATAATTGATCGAGCTCGTCGTAGGATAAGCTGCCTCCCGCACCGGCCTCGAGAAGCTCCGCGCGCAACTTATCCTGAACATCTGGGCGCTCAGCCAAGCACTGCAAGATGCGAGCCAGTGCGTTCGACGTCGTGTCTGTGGCAGCAAATACAAAGGTCCTTTATGGTGCTTAATGTTTTAGCTCTCTTAGATCAAATGATGCAGGACTCACGACATCTGAGCTATTAGCTCATCTTCCGTCAGTCGGTCGTCGGCCGACGTCGTAGTATTTGAGTTCACTTAATGGATGTGAGCGGCGCACAGTAAAATTAGCAAGAAAATCTTACTAAGAATGCTCATGATATCTTTTCCTTCTCCCAATTGTTGCAAGACAGCTTCATCTCCTTCGCGAAGGGCCGCTTTCTTTCCTTCGTAGATCTCACGAGACCGACGGTCCATCGTGTCGACAGTATTCCTGACAGCCTGAACCTCCTGATGTGGAATGCGATCGACTATGCTTTGCCAGAAATTCGCTGGTCCTAATCTTACGATAAACGGGAGAATTAACCGTACCATGGGTAGTATTCTCCCCAAATTTGGCCTATCATCTCAAATCAGCATTTGCTGACTTCTGCGGGTAAGAAGCAGAAACAGACGCTATGCTCTTCAGAGCATCACCATAATCATTCTTCACGTCTTCCACAAGCGGGTCGAACGAATATCCAAGACCGCCTTGTCCGATCAGCTCCAGGGCGGTACGACTCATCCAGTCCAACATGTCAATCTCTTGAGGGCCACTAGCCACCTGTCTCTCGATAGCCACTCGAAGCTACTATTTATTAGCTTATTTCAGCACACTCGAGACATAGCACAGATACCTTATGCACAACCTCATAAAACATCGGCAGCATGTAACGCATATGTTTGATCGAGAATGCCGGGTTGAGTAACTTCCGTTGTTTACGATGTTTCTCCCCTGCACCTATAGTAAGTTTCGAAGGTGAGCGACTGCTTCTAGAATTACCTTGCATGCTCAGTAATCCGGGACCGAGCAGCATGTGCCGGGTTCTGGATCATCATTAGTGCCACGGAATAGATCTGATGCAACATGATACTTGCGACTGCGTTGCCTTAGAATTCTCGAATATATACTCCTCCTTCACGACAATCGTGTGTAAGGCCTTTGGATCAGACACGTACAAAATGGGGCTCTGATGGTTTGGGATCGGACGTAATAAGTCACATGAAGACGTATAGCTGAAACACGCATACATTGAAACGGCCATGAAGCTTTGTTACGGGTCCGTAGTCCTGAGCAACATGACGCTGGAATTCCGAACCATGCAGAGCAAAGTACTGGCTCAGGTTGCCTGATAAATGTGGTATGAACGCATGACCCAGTTGTTACTTCTTCGTATACGCACCAACCCACAACGAGGACGAGGGAGGTCCAGGGATATTGTTGAGCGTAGACCGAGCCCTGCGCCCGTGCACGTAATTTATCAGAAGGAAAACCGCGCCGACTAGAAGAAGTGATGTCCAGAGAGACGTGTAGAACATGAGGACTTGAGCAGACAACGCTGCAAGGAGAAAGACAAGCAAGATAGGGGGCCAAGAGGTGGGAGAATCGAAGACAATCACCAGAAATGGAGACGAGAGGCAACAGGGGGAGGCGATCCTCGCAAGGTGGACTGGTGTCTTGCTAGTAGTTTGTGGCGTGCAAGTAGTATGGAGACGGGCCTAGACACTCGTGAGGGATGCACTTGCTTTATATTCGGCTCCTCAGCGCTCTCCTCGTAACTAAAATGCCTGCTGTCACGGAAGAGATTCGGCACAGACTCTCCATTTCAAAAGTGACCGAAACATAAAATGAGTCAAATCCACTGCGGCCATGGAGACGCGTATACATGACGGAATTCTCGAGGTGGGAGTAGAACTTTGTATTCAGTTTGGGCACACTGCTCTCGTCCACCAGCAAAGCGCGCTGGGCTAGGTTTACGCAGGTAGAGATTAACAAATAGTCCCAAATAGGACATACCTTTTCCTGCCTAGACCAAACCAGATCGAGTAGTGCCTGCCAGTGCCCGATCATACGCTGGGCGACATGTGTGCATGTCGGTAGGCTAAGGAAAAGTCGGATAAAACCACGGACGGCATTACTTTAGTTTTGAATTCGTCTTACCTGTATGGAACTTCTAGTAATAGATAGACAAATTGATTCCTTTCTGTTACGAGTAGGTATCTCTATCTGCAGTGGCAGACAGGTATAATCATAAATTATGCAATGCTGTGAGAGAGGATTGAGCGCGGGATCGGCTGTCGCCTTTCTCGAGCCAGGAGCCTCTCGCGATGCTCTCCCGGGATCGAGCAATGACTCGAAACTGCCGCAGCGATGACGACGGCGTCCTATTGACGTACGTCACCTGCCCCCCACAGGTGCGGGAGGCTCGCCGTCTCGTGCGCAATTCCTACGTCTCGTCCGTTTGAAACATCTCTGAAACGGGTCCGGCACTGATAGAGTCAACTTAGAAGTACAGACGGAATGAGAGAAAGAGACCAGACAGGAGTGCAAGAGATAGAGAAACTACAACGCAGAGAGCAAAGAAAGGAAAGAGACTGAGACGGAGAGACCTTGATGACACGAGTTGCGTGAGATCCCACGAAAGGTGTAGCGTGTTAGAATTCCCCGTTACAACGGTTCATTTCGGAAGGGCGGTGCAAGAGCTTCTCGCACAGTATATGAAGCTTTAGCAATTCAACTGAGAGTGTGATGGCGGTTTAGGCGGACTTCTTAATACACGAGTGCACATAGTCAAGTACATACGCTAACTGACTGGTATCCACCCAAAGGAGACCGCGAGGGAGAACATACGTCTTTCGATCTCCTATGTCTATACAGGTACTCGGGGAATCAGTGGGGCATGACACTTACGCATATGAGTTACGAGCGGAATGCACGTTATGTGAGCAAACTCAAATCGCTGGAAGCTCCCTTAATTTATGACCCTCGCTCGGCCTAGATGCGTTTATATACACGGGCCCCAGTCTAGTACCCAGGCGTGTCTTCAACAGGCTGTCCTTCAGGGGCGCATGTCAATGCGCCTGTGCTAGTGCCAGTATAATGGACAACAGGTTTCGGTTAGTGTCGGTTCTAAAAGGACCTTCGTAAGAGCATTCTGCTGTGATGCCGCGATCCTTGTGTTGCGCTGAAGCTTTACTGCATATGAGATGTTTATATAAACAAGATAAGTAAGAGACTTCGGCATACGAGGATGGAGAGCAGAGTAAGCAAAACCAAAACAGGGGCAAGGGTGTAGACTACAATCAAGAGAGTCTGACAACAATCCAACAATTACGCCTTTGCGCCTTCATACAACCGAACTTTCAGCGGCAACTGAGGTTTGTTGTCTATCCTCCCCAACGTGGGATAGCGTACAGCAGCAGCGTTCCAAACAATGGGTTTGTCTGTCAACTCGAAGGTGAAGTTGGCAAGCAAAACAGATAGGACAACCTCTGTAAACACCAGTTGAATGACTGTGGTCACATTACGACAGGAGTTGAAGTCTACTTACTCATCTCCATTTCAGAGAATTTGAAGCCACTATGGGATTTGTAAGCATGAGTTCTTGCAGCTCGTTAAGTGTTGGACATACATGCACGCTCTCCTGCCACCAACAAACGTCATCCTGGGAAACAAGGTCAGCGCCTCTTATGAAAGTGTAAGCTGACACCCACAAGTTGGCATAGACACCAGGAATGGTGCTCTTTATAACTTTCTCCGGGAGGGGGGCGAGCCACCTCTCAGGTTTCCATTCATGCGCATCTTCGCCCCAAAGTTCTTTTCTCGCATTGCAGCCCAGGATTCCGATAATGACCTCCGTTCCCTTAACAACAGGAATATCACTGATCAAGCTACCGTCGACCCCCACAATGGGTTCTGCCAACGGGAGAATCGTGTCACGACTTGCGCTGGGCGCACAAACGGCTTTAGTGTTTGAATCAATCAGAGCTGGAACACTACTCACACGCGTGTGGAGAATACAGCAGGAGGATTACTAAAGAAAATGTCTCATCATCCACGCAGGCGATTGACAGTCAGTAGATTAGACCAGCTTACAGTCGCAATGTCTCGCGGCACACGCTATCAAGTAGGGGAAGCTGGTCAAGTTCATCGTACACTAATGATTCTCCTGCATGCGCATCTAGCACTTCAGCACGCAACTTCTCCTGGACATCAGGGTGTTCTGCCAATATTTCTATGATACGGGCTAACGTGTTCGATGTCGTGTCCGTTGCGGCAAGAACAAGGGTGCTGCATGACGAAGTCAACAATAATACATTGAAGAAGGAATATAACAGGACACCCACGACATCTGGGCAATGATCTGGTCCTCGGGCAATCCTTCAGCCTCAGAGGATGAGGCATTCGCTCGCACTGTTAGAGTATTGGCACGGTAAGAATATAATCTAGCCAACTCACGCACTTAGAATACTGATGATATCCTTGCCTTCTCCCACCTGCTGCAAGACGGCCTCTTCACCCTGAAGAAGAGCAGCTTTCTTCTTTTCGAATATAGCTCGCGATTGTGATTCCATGGTATCAACGATAGACTTGAATCTCTGAACATCTCCGTCTGGCACGAAGTTGAGTACAAAGCGCCTAAAGGCGGCGGGCCCTACTCTCATGAGGTAAGGAACCATGAGCCGCAGTATGGGGACCTGCACCAGGTTCGGGCTATACAATGAATGTCGCCATCAGCATCAAACGACTTCGTAGAGAATGTACGTACATCAAATTTTTAAGCGCATGGCCATATTCATTATGAGCATCCTCGACAAGGGGATCGAAGGAGTATCCAAGGCCCCCCTGGCCTATCAATTCAAGTGCAGTACGGCCCATCCAATTCAGCATGTCAATCTCCTCGGTCCCTCCAGCAACTTGCTTCCTCAGTCCATCTCGAAGCTGTTGTATTAGTGAGTGTCAGCTTCAACACCAGCGCCAATACCATGAGCTACCTGGTGTGCCACGTTGTAGAAGATCGGGACAATATGACGCATATGATTGATAGAGAATGCCGGGCTGAGTAGCTTGCGCTGCTTGCGGTGTGTCTCGCCTGCCATATTTTGTCTCAGTGCAATGCTTGCTACTAATATAAAAACTCTTACCTAAAGTCGCTAGTAATCCGTGTCCAAATAGTAAATAGTTCATCCTGAGGTGACAGTCAGTGACGCATGCATAGCCAAACCTCTATAATCATACGAAATGAACGCATCGGACTCCGGAAACGACGATTCATCCTTGATTATGATCGTGTACAGCGCCTTGGGGTCAGAGACATACAACATTGGTCGCTGTGTATGTAGTTAGTTGGATGTGATAGATGCATACTCTGAGCACAAACTTACACCGAACATACCATATAATTTGGCGACTGCAGGATAGTTAAATGCCAAGTGGCTCTGAAAATCTGTGCTGTCGCGAGAGAAAAACTGCGCGATGCTGCCTACATCATACGGTGAGTGGTTGGAAGGTTTATTGTCAAGTCGATAGCATGCCTGTTAGAAATGACGCAGGAGCGGGACCAGAGACGTTTTGGAAGGCATTCCTAGTCTTCCGAATCCCCAGGTACTGCCATGCGAAAATGATAGAACTGAGGACGAGAAGTGAACTCCACAACTCCATGAATGTCATGGTGATGGATGCCAGTGAGTCTGGAATGTTGAACAAGACACGACCAGAGTCTAGTCAGTTGTGAGATTCTGATAGCGTCGGTTTTATAGGAACCTGAACCAAACATAGTCGCCCGTAGACAAATGACGACAATTGAATCCTCGGCACAACCATTCAAAACTGAAGTGGGGTGTACTATCCATTTCTGGCCAGCCACAGGCCTCGGATTGCCTGGCCTACATATGCCCAGAATACATTACAGTATACAAGGCTGACCTAGTGGGCAGGTGAGTGAAGTTGGCTGATAGAAGAAAACATAACACACTTAATTCTTACAATTTCTTCACGAAAGTCTCCCAGGACGTACTTCGAATCAGCTTCGCGGAGTAGTGGATGAGATTGCTCCCGATGCTAAGGACGATTTGTTAGGCGCCACAAACACAATTCGGCCAAATAGAACATTGTCACTGCAGGAAATGGATTCGATCGATTTCTGACTGCCCCTTCATGACCAATCATCAAAATCAGAGGCTCATTATACCAACTCACCCATAACTTTGACACATTGCATTTTTTCTCGGATGATCACCACTAGACACTGCGATGTCTATCCTCTGCGGCTGGGAGATTTTGCTTTTGAGGTGTACTGCCAAGAAAAGACACTTGACCCCGTGCCATAACCGTCGCACGTCTTAGCTCCCAAGTCATATATTCGGTGGTAGTGCTTACAGAGCGTTTGATAACGCATGCTTCAGAAGCCTACCATCAGTGACGGTAGAATGTTCTGATTTGATAGACAGATTCTGGCTCCCCTCAATGTTCCAGGTGGGTCAATCAGTATAGCAGAAGTGAGGCTTGGAGTATATCAGATACCTTGCCTGGATAGTTTTAGTGGCGGACAATGAAACTACCGGGTGGTATCGTCTCCAGGCGATGCGATCATGCGTGGTGCAATTTGATAGACCACCCCTCTGTTGACGCCGCAAATTGCACAGGACTCAACAATGTTTTGGGGGGGAAAGACCACACTCAAGGCTGCGGAAAGCATATATCGAATGCAGTCAAAAAGTTCCGTAAGCTGCACATTTTGTAAGTTGATGTGTACGCATAACCCTGGCGTCGAAACTCACATAGCACTGCGCAAACAAGCGACACGTAGTATAATTACGCCTATGACGAATTTTATGCTAAAGCGTTGGAATTCACAGAAATGTGTGGAATCCCGACTCAACCAGGAGCAACTAGTATCAATAACGTGACGGATTCCAACCAGGCAAGAATAATAGTCGAAGGTGGTGAGCCATTTAGACGCCCGCAGCAACATGATCACGAGCGTCACGTACATCGTACCTGCAACAGCAAACCCGCCCACAGTGCGCAGTGTGCATGCGCACCGACTCGGAGTAGCACCTTAATTCAAGTTAAGTATGACTTTGTATCATCTCAGAGTAGCGCGCTACGGCATACATATTCGTCTTCAGCATCTGGTGATATACGTTATCTAGGTTCAAGTTATTACAAATTCCGCTCCCGAGACTCGGGGTGCCTCGCAGCAGCACATGGTACCTATGCGATCCGACAAAGCTCCAGTCGCACAGCAAATCGATATGCAGCTCAATATTTAGCTCCTGTACACTCCTCTAGGCTCCCAGCACCCTTCGTAACGGCAACTCCGCGAATCGAAACGATGGCACAAGCGCACGTGTTTCCCGACCCGAGGATGGATGGAATACCGTTCGACGTGGGCTGGCGCACAGCGATGAGGAGTTTGTGCTGCTCATCAGACAGTACGAGATGATAGCTGGTTTCTTACCGAGTCAAGCGGCAGAATTGCGCTACATGGACCCAGAAAGTCGTAATTGATTCTAGCGACAGACCTGGTGCTGACGGTTCAGGGCAAGCTCCAACTTGAAGTTTCCGAAAAGCTCAGACGCTTGCGAGAACTCGGACACAACAGACTTGAATATGCATATGACAGCGTCGATAGCACAAGATTGAGAAGGAAGGACAATACCAAAAGCTCGGGATCGTAGCATAAATACGACCGTAATTACCATGATGCTTTCACGCCCTCATACAACCGCACTTTCAGCGGCATCTGGGGCTTGTTGCTTACAGTACCCACCGTGGGATAGCGCAAGCCTCCAGCATTCCACACGATAGGCTTGTCCGTCGGCTCGAATGTAAAGTTTGAGAGCAACACCGATAGGACAACCTCTGTAAGTACGTGAGTGGTGTTACTTCAGTAGATATATAATAGGAATCAGAGTGTACTCACTCATCTCCATCTCAGAAAACTTGAAGCCGCTGTGTTAATCCGTGAGCTTGAGCAATTCAGAGCTGAACAATGAAAGACGTACATGCACGCTTTCTTGCCACCAATGAATGTCATCCTGCAAGATAAGGTTAGCACTTGTCAAGAAAACACAAGCTGGCACTCACAAGTTGGCATAGACACCAGGAATGTTCGCCTTTGTGATTGTCTCCGGGAGGGGGGCGAGCCACCTCTCAGGCTTCCATTCATGCGCATCTTCCCCCCAAAGTTTCTTGCTCGCGTTGCAGCCCAGGACTCCCATGATGATCTCTGTTCCCTTGACTATGGGGATCTCACTTATCAAGCTGCCGTCGACACCCACAATTGGCTCGGACAGTGGGAGAACCGTGTCTCGGTTTGCGCTGGCCCATCGAGATACTTGAGTATTGGAACCATTTATGACAAGACCTACTCACACGCGCAGAGGGTACTGGAGAGGCGCATCCCTAGAGAAAACTCCTGTCAGCAAGGAATGCGGATAAGGCTAACGCAGCTTACAATCGCAATGTCTCGCGGCACACGCTATCGAGTAGGGGAAGTTGGTCGAGTTCATCATATGATAGGGATTCCCCAGCATGCGCATCTAGAACTTCAGCACGTAATTTATCTTGCACGTCAGGACGCTCTGCGAGTATGTGTAAGATACGGGCCAACGTGTTCGATGTCGTATCTGTCGCAGCAAAGACGAGGGTTCTATATGACAACGTGAGTGATCATACATGCACAGAAGAAACACAACGCGGCACCCACGACATCTGGGCAATGATTTCTTCATCGGATAATCCGTCTGCCTCAGAGGTGGAAGCATTTGCTCGCACTGCCAGGATATCAGCCCGGCTAGGGGTATGTATACCGGAAATTGGACGCACTCAGAATGCTCATGATGTCCTTGCCCCCTCCTATTTGCTGCAAGATAGCTTCCTCGCCGTGAAGGAGAGCAGCTTTCTTCTTCTCGAAGAGCGCATGCGCCTGCGAATCCATGATATCAACGGTGCGCTTTATGCTCTGCACATTGTCATTTGGCACCAGGTCGACTATGAAGCGCCTGAACCGGGCGGGTCCTAGTCTGATGAGGTAAGGAATCATGAACCGCACGACAGAAACTTTGATCAGGTTCGGGCTATACAATGAATGATACGATCGGTATTGAACAACTTGAATCATAGAGAGAACACGTACACCAATGTCTTCATAACCTGCCCATACTCGTTGGGCGCGTCCTCGATAAGGGGATCGAAGGAATATCCAAGGCCGCCTTGGCCGATCAATTCAAGTGCTGCACGACTCATCCAGTCTAGCATATCAATTGCCTCAGTTCCGCCTGTAACTTGCTTCTTGACGCCGTCGCGAAGCTGTTCTCTGTGTGTTAGCTTCGAAACCGGGATTACGACTTTGAGGTACCTTGTGCACCACGTTATAAAAGATCGGTATAATATGACGCATGTGGTTGATGGAAAACGCTGGGTTGAGTAGTTTGCGTTGCTTACGGTGTGTATCACCTGCAAGAAATATTGTTTCATCATCAGTATGAACGCTCGCTACCAACTCGAAAATGTTCTGACCCAAAGTCGCTAGTAATCCACGGCCGAACATCAAGTAATTAAACCTGGAGTGATACTAAGTTGTTTATCTGTAGCCAAAATCCTGTGATCGTACGATATATCCAGCCCTGGAAATGAAGGTTCGTCCTTGATCAAGATCGTGTGTAATGCCTTGGGATCAGAGACATATAGCATGGGCCGCTGTGTGCATAATTGTTCAGATATGATATGTATCCTTCGAGAACGTACTTACACCCAATATGTTATATAACTTGGCGACGGGAGGATACTCAAATGCAAGATGTCGCTGGAAACTTGTACCTTCGCGAGCAAACATTTGGGAAATGTTGCCTACAGCATATTGTCAGTAATCATATGATCTGCATTTCGGAATGATAAGTAGCATGCCTTTCAGAAATGATGGAGGAGAGGGCCCAGGGATGTTTTGTAAGGCATTTCTAATCTTTTGTGTCTCCAGATATTGCCATGCGAAGGCAACAGTACTGAGAACGAGAAGTGTACTCCAAAGCTCTATAAGAGCCATGATGATAGGTACCCGTTAAGTGTATACCTTGAGTGGTGAACTTTGATCTGCAGACTGCTGGGGTCCAGTAAACTGAAGAAAGCAGACCTCGATAACTTCGACTTTATATGATCCGGGGGCAGCTGTAAGAACCTACGTAGCTGACGACCGTGGACATGCAATGACAATCCCGGGCCCGAGATGCTACGGCACACGAGTCAGTTGCCTAGAATGCTATGAGTCCATCAAAATATGCTCACCGCATCGTGTGCATCCGGCGCATGTAGTCATTCACCATCTTACCGCCCTCAAGTTTATGACCCCGCTCCTCAAAGCTTCGAAACATTCACACTAGCTTGTGTTTCTTTTTTTTTACTTGTTCGTTCGCGTTGCTGCTTTCACGAACGCTGCTAGGCATTTCCATGCTTATTTTCTGCAGCCGGGAAATGTCGTCTCTTAGGAACAATCCGAAGGGGGCACTCAAGCCGTGGAGCTATTGCACGTCATGCTATGATCACAAACACGGAGGAGTCAGTACCCATAGCATCGGTGCCGAATCATTGCGAGACGACTCGGAGTCACTGACTTTCGTGGGGCAATTGGCGGCAAAGTGGGATCCGTTGGACTGAATATGAGATACCTCACCTAGCAGTTCAAAAGCATACCTGGATCAGTTATTTCCCTGAATGGCGGAAAGCTCGAGTCGCAGCGAGGAATATAAAATAAATACTAGTCTGAGCATATACTAAACAGTAGGCGCCCACGGATAATCTAGTGTCCAAGCTGACGCGCTGACATGTACATCGCATGCGTACGGCATCGAGGCGGCCAGGCAATAGACGGACTCGGAAAACACCGAACAACCTTCCGATATCGGACGCTAACACTGTAACAGTACGGATAGCAGAAAGAAGATCGTCGTTGCGCCCGTGAACGATGGCGCAAGTCGATAGATTGTCCGGGAGCGCAGCTTCAAGTCGGCCTCACTCGATACAAGTCCCATAAAATATCATCTACCACGGGCTGTCAGTTATCATGATGCACCCTCAAGATATACTGCATCCAATTCTCATCACAAGCCAATCAGTTTTCTCATCTGTAGGCATCTGCGGGGTATAATGAGGCAGAACAAGCTTGTCCCAAAGCATTCTAGCTGGAGAAGTGGCATGACCAGTGCCTCCGCGGCCGATACGTTGAATCGGCGAGTTCTCATAGCGAGGAAATGATTCATGGACCCGCCACATAGAAACCATTGTTCTCGAATTATCGTCTCCACGCATATAGATATTGATGACTTGCAAGTACAATGGATCAGCCCTGTCATCCTGTAATTTGGCGCATATGGCTGATCCATATGATGAGATTTTCGGCACGAAGCGGTAAGCATGGCTCGCGCGAGAGATGGGAGTACTGAGGGCCAGGGATAGGTTCGGGCTACTGTCGGGTAGCTAGCATGCATTCCCTGCGTCTGAATATGTAATGTGATAGTCCCTGTGAGTGATTGAACTGTCAACATTGTTTGAATGGCAGAGAGCAGCAGCAATGTCGATAGCATCAAAGCAGGCCAATACTGAAGAGTCTGAAATGTAGCATACATCTGAGCACAATCATGTTTTTGCGCCTTCGTACAACCTCACTTTCAGCGGCATCTGAGGCCTGTTACTTACGGTGCCCACGGTAGGATAGCGTATGCCACCCGCATTCCACACGATGGGCTTGTCCGTCAATTCAAAGGTGAAGTTGGCAAGCAACACCGACAAGACAACTTCTGCGAGGGTAAATTGGGCATGTGTCACTGCAGCCGATCTGCGACAGTCGTCCACTTACTCATTTCCATCTCCGAGAATTTGAAGCCGCTGTAGTAAACAGCGGGGTTGAGTCTCTGCAGAAGCCTAGTGTTAGAAAGTGAACGACGCACATGCACGCTCTCTTTCCCCCAACGAAAGTCATCCTAGACAGTAATATTAGCGACTCTCGTGCAAAACTTGAATTAATGCCCACGAATTGGCATAGACACCAGGAATGGAACTCTTGGTGACCTTTCCTGGAAGAGGGGTGAGCCACCTCTCAGGCTTCCATTCATGCGCGTCTTCGCCCCAGAGTTCTTTGCTCGCGTTCCAGCCCAGAATTCCGATCATAACTTCAGTTCCCTTAACGATAGGAATTTCTCTTATCAGGCTGCCGTCGATTCCGACGAGGGGCTCGGCCAGCGGGATGATTGTGTCCCTGTTTGCACTGCGTCATGAGGAGCTTTAATATTGCTATCAACTAGGGTCAGAGCTACTCACACCCGTGAAGGGACTGGAATAGGTGGATCTCTAGAGCAAATGTCCTGTCAGCGAGGTTGCTGATGAGTAGTATATCAGACCGGCTCACAGACGCAATGTCTCTCGACACACGCCATCAAGTAAGGAGAGCTTGTCGAGTTCATCATATGATAACAATTCTCCCGCATGCGCATCTAGTACCTCAGCCCGCAACTTATCCTGCACGTCAGGACGCTCTGCTAATATATGTAAGATACGGGCCAACGTGTTTGATGTTGTGTCCGTCGCAGCAAAGACAAAGGTTCTGCATGACCAAGTGGGCAATCATAAATCGGGGAGCTACAAGAGGATACCCACGACATCTGAGCGATGATTTCGTCTTCGGATAATTTGTCCGCCTCGGAAGTGGAAGCATTCGCTCGCACTGCGATAACATCAGCGCGACCAAAATATTCCTGTAAGTTACACGCACTTAGAATGCTGATGATATCTTTGCCTTCTCCCATCTGCTGTAAGATGGCCTCTTCGCCCTGGAGAAAAACAGCTTTTTTCTTCTCGAATATCGCACGTGACTGGGAGTCCATGGTATCAACAATGTGCTTGACTCTCTGCACATCGCTGTTCGGCACGAGGTTGAGGATGAAGCGCCTGAAGGAGGCGGGCCCTGCTCTGATGAGGTAGGGAGCCATGAGTCGCGTCGTGGGTATTTTAATTAGGTTCGGCCTAAATTATAAACGATATGATGAGTACTATCCGTGCCGTATAACTTGCAAAAAAAAAAGCACGCACATCAGTGTTTTAATAGCTTGACCATATTCGCTGAGCGCGTCCTCAATAAGGGGATCGAAGGAGTATCCAAGGCCACCCTGACCTATCAATTCAAGTGCCGTACGCCCCATCCAGTCAAGCATATTGATTTCCTCGGCTTCTCTGCTAATTTGCTTCTTGATTCCGTCTCGCAGCTGTTGCCCCTATGTCAGCTTTGAAGCAAGAACCAGGACTATGAGTTACCTTGTACACGACATTGTAGAAGATCGGTATAATGTGGCGCATATGATTGATAGAGAATGCTGGATTGAGTAGCTTACGCTGCTTGCGGTGTGTGTCACCTGTCAGTCAATTCATCTCAGTATACATGCCAGCTATTTACTTGAACATGCTAACCCAAAGTCGCTAGTAATCCGCGTCCAAATAGCAAGTGATTCATTCTTAAGTGATGGTCAGCCAAGTACGAATATCGAAAACTCTATGATCATACGCAATGAAAGAATCAGGCTCCAGAAACGAGGGCTCGTCCTTGATTACAATCGTGTGCAATGCCTTTGGATCAGAGATATATAGCATGGGCCGCTATATGCGTAGTTACGTAGATGTCAAAAGTCGCTACTTTCAGCATACACTTACCCCAAACATGCTATACAGCTTTGCAACGGGAGCATAGTCAAATGCCAAGTGTCGCTGAAAGTTCGTACTTTCACGAGAGAAGAGTTGGGGGATGCTGCCTACACCAGACTCTGAGTAATCAGAAGGTTCACAATTACTAGCATACCTGTCAGAAATGATGCAGGAGTGGGACCAGATATATTTTTCAAGGCGTTCCTGACTTTCCGTATCTCCAGATACTGCCATACGAAAACGGCAGCGACGAGGACGAGAAGTGAGCTCCACAACTCTTCGAGAGTCATGCCAACAAGTATCCGTGGGTGTATAAGCCCAACGTAGTGTTATGACGAGCTGCAAAGAATTCGAGGCCTGCTAGTTGTGAGAAGTATGTGAACCAGGGCGAAATGTAGCGACTCACACATTCGACCGTCACTGGACATGCAACTTCAACAATCAAGTCCCCGGCCCCGAGGTATTATAGCACGTGAGTCAAGTGTCATAAATTCTATGTATCTAGACGGCATACCGGAGTCAGTACCCAACGTATTACAGTATCGGTGCCGAACCATGGTGGTGTAATTTAGACAAGCGATTCTGGCTGCCACCCTGCAAGTGCGTCGGGATTTTGGCGAGTGCAGCTGGACGATAATACAAGATACGCACCAAGGCTGGGTACTCATGGGAGACACGACAGATGAGTGTGTATGGGCCGCACGGTCAGTGCTCAACTCGCAAGGGCTCGCGAGGGGGCGCTCTCGGAGTATGCCGATTGCAATATTTGCGGATCGCTCCCAAGAGTCGGTCCGTGTGTTCTAGTTCAAGTTCATAGAGCTGACGTCGACCTCAAATGCTGCTCACGGCATCAACAACCTCTAACAACATATCTCCGACCAACATAGCACCAAGACATACGCCGCCGACGCCTATCTCGTTCGTCCGTCAGCTTCAGGTTCATTCGCTCTCGCTTTCCCGACTCTAGTGAACGGGGGAGACAACGGGTAAAATTTGAGCTGTGCCGGAGAAGTATTCATGTCTTGGAAGCGTGTCTGCGATGACAACGTGCGTGTCTTTGTCGTGCAACCTTCCTGGTCCTGCTGAACATATTCGTGTCGATAGTCCTGACCCTACAAATGATACAGGAACAGACTAGTGCTTCATAGTGATGGTTCCATTCAACAAACGGGTCGATACTGGCTTCCAAGCTGGCACACGCCAGATGCGCATCAGGGCTCTTGTGAGAATTTTCCAGACGAGTGTTTTGTGCCACTGTTCTCCTTGAGCCTCTTGATTCTGACATCGTATTTGAAGGATTTGACAGGGCTCTTACAGGAAACATCAACAGCAATTAGTTCAGTTTGGTCTTATAGCCTCCGCTACGGTATATGTCTGCAGCGCATACGCCGTGTCACTGCCACCCTATCTTTCTGTAAGTCTCGATGAGGAAGACAAGACAGTTTCATTTCTGGTGATGAGGCTAGTGGTTGTGCGTTCATTGTTCATCACTATGCTGCCGCGTTTTTGACATGTGGATTGCGAATGTGGATACCCGAGTGAGTAGATCTATCTAGATCTCTGAAACGAAGCTGAGAATCTCTGATATTCCATCCCATACTTTGGTTACTACTATGGCTGCATTTTAACTGGCATCGTATCAGTAAGTGAAGTCTGCGGAGACACTCCGTAGGCCCGCTCAATATGGACCTTTTGTTTAAGGGAAACTCGTACGTCTGTGAGCATGTTGGTATGGTCGCCATTGGCCACTTCCTGCCTCATTTCATCCAAGTGCTGCGAAGATACCTAATGAGATTGGAAAAATTAGTACCTGGCGGGGACAGACACTCGTACACGTCACTACGGTCGCTTGTCCAGATCTGAAGCTGAACACAGCGAACACTGCTCAGTGCTGCTTTGGACCATGCTATCATTTTTCTCGCCTTCTACTCACTACCGGTTATGCTTACTGGGAGATATAGGACTACACCGTTGCGGCGAGTGAATATGCATACAAAACAGGCCGATATAAGCTCGATTCCGCTGGTGGCGCTACCTATCCTCAATCTTGGTGGCACCGGAAGAGCGAGTGCTGAGAAGAGCGCATATAGAAGTCCAAGTCCGTTCGGAGCTGCTCCAAAGTGAAAAGGCTATCCTCTTCATCTCACGGGCTCTACTCTCTGGGTATGGCCAAGCGTCGATGAGTGTATGCATAGTAAACACACCTATCGATCTCATCTTCCGTCGAGCTTGCCATGTACAGTAAGAGTTCGGCGACGCCTCGAACTCGACGAAGGTGTCTGCTTTGGTCTCACGAGCACAAGTCTTCACTATGGAAACGCATTTCCAAACGAGTAGCCTCGTAGGCACCTCGGTCGAGTGCTGCCTATGCCTTCGTACTAGACCCTACTCTTGAATCAGTCTCCCGCACGCAATATCCCCCAGCTCTTCATCGTCTCAGCCTCACCACGCTATATCTCGTACCGGTCCAGACTCTATCCAGCTTCAGCATTGAGGATTGTTTCGTGTATAGTAGCTACCATTCGCACAAGTTAACTGACGCTGCTTCAAACTCCAGCTGCACATCTTACCTGGACTGGCAACGGGTAGATCATGCACGGCGCATGTAGAGCATCATATACCGGGGTCTTACTGGCTCGCACGTCGTCTGTAGATCATCCTCGCTCTTCTGTTAAATTGAAATTAGATCTCCTGCCCGCACATACTATGAGGAAAGCACCGCAATGTGTTCGTATGGCAATAATGTGAGATGTGTGTTCGCTGGCAGCCTGTTTCAAGAGCCTCAGTGGCTG